CCCTAACCCTAACCCTAACCCTAACCCTAAACCCTAACCCTAAACCCTAACCCTAACCCTAACCCTAACCCTAACCCTAACCCTAACCCTAACCCTAACCCTAACCCTAACGTACTAACCACCTAACCCCCCTAACCAGTAAACTTGGTGGCGTAATATTTAAATTCTTAGCTTTCGTTTGCTTGTTTCAGATTTCCCGTATCTTTTCATTCCAAAGTCACGTGTTCTCTTGGTCAAAGTCACGTGCTCTCTTCGTCAGTGTCACGTGATCAACTCTTCGTCACGTGACTTCCTTGCTTACGTAATCAACTTTACATCACGTGACTTCGGCCTAGGTCACGTGACTTTGACCCCACCTTCATAGCACTTCATTTTGCGTTTCCTGCCCCCTCTGCGTAATCTCAGGACTCGAACCTACCTACTACAACTCCTTCCTACCTATTCTCGTGACTTCTACTGGTCACGTGACTTTGACCTTACCTTCATAGCACTTCACCCTGCGTTAACCTACTACTAGCACTTTGTGAACAGACGTTAACCTACTACTACTTACACCCACCTTTCCTACTTACGCCCACCCAGAACTAGCACTTTGTGAACAGACGTCACCTAACCCTACTTACGCCCACCCAGTACTTCTGCGCCCACCTCTTTCTAGCACTTCCCCGACTAAGTACTCCCTCCGCTGACTGACCCACATTCTGCGTACACCTACCCGGAGCACTTTGTGAATTGACGTTAACCCTGTACTGCTTACATCACCTTTTCTACTTGCGTCCACCAAGTACTAGCACTTTGTGAATAGACGTTAACCTTTCCTACTTACGCCCACAAAGTACTTCCTACTTACGTTAACCCAGTACTTTGCTCTACTTCCTACTCCCGCTTATCGCCACGTGACTTCGTCTTATCTCCACGTGACCGTGTACTCCGTCACGTGACTTTCGACCCCCCCCTCTTATTCTTTTTTTCTACTCCCCCCTCTTTATTCTCTTCTCCCCCCCCTCTCTTCTTCCTAACCCTTTCTAACCACCACCAACCACCGCCCCACCCACCCTATTTCCTTCCCTCCTATTTATACTCCCACGCACCCCTGTACCCTGTTCCTGTACCCTGTACATTCCTCGGACGTACATTCCTCAGTAGTCGCATTCCTCAGTAGTCGCATTCCTTAGAAGCGCCATCCATTCGATGTTACCCCTTTTTAAAACAAATGATCTATTCAATTGACGTTTCTCCCTCTTAATAATTCAATATTTTATCTTAAACAAAAGTATCTCCTATTCTACTCTCTACTCTACTCTCTTCCTTTTAAAACTCACTCTAATCTCTTCTTTTTAAAATTCCTTCCAATCTTCTTTCTATGAATAAACGATCCATCGAATTGATCTTAATCCAAAAATAATTCAATACTTTACTTTAAACAAAAATATCTTTCGTTCTACTCTCTCTTCTTTTAAAGCTCCCTCTACTCTCTTCTTCTCACCCTACTCTCTTCTTTTTACCAAGAGAAGATCTATTCTATTCAATTCAATTTGTCCTTTTTAAAAATAATTCAATACTTTATTTTAAACAGAAGTATCTCCTACTCTACTCTCTTCCTTAAAAACTCATTCTATTCTCTTCTCTCTTCTCCCTCTACTCTCTCTTCTTTAAAATTCACTTTAATCTCTTCCTTTTAAATATCTCTGTAATCTCATCTTTTTACAATTAAACGATCTATTTAATTCAACTTTTCCTTTTCTCTTTTTTAAAATACTCTCTAATCTTTTTTATAAACAATCCATCAAATCGACGTTACTCCAAAATAATTCAATACTTTTTATTTTAAACAGAAGTATCTCTCATCCTACTCTCTCTCTTCTCACTCTACTCTCCTCTCTCTCTACTCTCTTCTTTTTAACTTTAATTTTCATCTAATTCTACTTTTAACAAAAAAATCTACTTTTAACAAAATTATTTTTAAATTCTTATTTTTTTTAGTCAATAAAAAATTAATTCTACTTCATTTGATCAATTGTTAAAAATATTTCTAAATTTTCATCTTACTAATGAAAAATCAATTCATTTTCATATAATTGAGTGCTAAATAATTTTTTTATATTTCATTTTCAATTTCACTTTTAATTTCATCTTCATTTTTAAAATCCTTTTAAATTTGATTTAATTCTACTTTTAATAAAAATATTTTTAAATTCTCATCTTTTTTTAGTTGATAAAAAATCAATTCTACTTCATTTGATCAAGTGTTAACAGTTTTTTTAGATTTCATTTTTATATTTTAATTTCATTTTCATTTTCATTTTAAATTTCATTTTTAACTTTAATTTTAACAAAAAATTCTAGTTTTAAGAAAATTATTTTTAAATTCTTATTAAGTCAATAAAAAATCGATTCTACTTCATATAATCAAGTGTGAACAAATTTTTCTAAATTTTCATCTTTAGTAATCAAAAGTCAATTTATTTTCATATAATCAACTGTGAACAATTTTTTTACATTTCATTTTAATTTCATTTTCATTTTCACTTTTATTTTTAAAATCCTTTTAAATTTGATTTAATTCTACTTTTAATAAAATTATCTCTAAATTCTCATCTCTTTTTAGTTGATAAAAAATCAATTCTACTTCATTTGATTAATTGTTAACAATTTTTTTAGATTTCATTTTTTATTTTTTTATTTTAATTTTTATTCTAATTTCATTTTAATTTTAAATTTCATCTAATTCTACTTTTAATAAAAATATTTCTAAATTCTCATCTTTACTATTGAAAAATCAATTCATTTTCATATAATCAAGTGTGAACAATTTTTTTTACATTTCATTTTAATTTCACTTTTAATTTCACTTTTAATTTCACTTTTATTTTTAAAATTCTTTTAAATTTGATTTAATTCTACTTTTAATAAAATTATCTCTAAATTCTCATCTCTTTTTAGTTGATAAAAAATCAATTCTACTTCATTTGATTAATTGTTAATTTTTTTACATTTCATTTTCAATTTCACTTTTAATTTCACTTTCATTTTTAAAACCCTTTTGAATTTGATTTAATTTTACTTTTAACAAAATTATTTCTAAATTCTCATATTTACTAATGAAAAATGAATTCTTTTTTACATAATCCAGTATTGATAAATTTTTTTACATTTCATTTTTTATTTTAATTTCATTTTTAATTTTAAATTTCATCTAATTTTAGTTTTAACAAAAAATTCTACTTCTAACAAAATTATTTCTAAATTCTCATTTCTAGTAGTAAAAATCAATTCATTTTTATATAATTGACTGCTAAATAATTTTTTTATATTTCATTTTTAAAATCCTTTTAAATTTCATTGAATTGTACTTCTAATAAAACCTACTCTAACCCTTCATTTCTCATCTTTACTAATGAAAAATCAATTCAATCTTACTTGATCTATTCAACAAATTTTTTTAGATTTCATTTTTATTTTTCATTTTCATTTTTAATTTTAAAATCTTTTTTTTTTAAATTAAAGATATTTTTAAATGGACATCTTTTTTTTAATAAAACCTACGTTATCCTTTCATTTCTTATATTTATCAATGAAAATTCAACTCAACTTGTCCAATTTATTCATTTTTTTTTATTTTTATTTTCATTTTTAAATTTCATTTTAAAATCTTTTCTTTTTTTTTTAAATTATTTTTAAATAAAAACATCTCTCAAATCAATCTCTTTAATTCAATTCAACCTTATTGAATGGCTTACTTTTATTAAATCACCACTAGCTTCGCCCTAACGACAGACTAATTTTTGCTAAACAGATGGATTCGTTTTTTTTCACGATAAGCAATCTCTAACTCTTTTTTTATCATAATCATAGACTCTTTTTCATAAACAATAGATTTCACTACTTTTTTTTCAATCATTTTACTGGTTTTTTACAACAAACTTGGATTTGACTATTTTTTTTTTAAAACAAGTAATAAATTTCACTAGTTTTTTTAAAATAATAAACAGATTTTATTTTTTTTTTAAATAAACAATAGATTTCACTAGTTTTTTTAAAACATGTAATAAATTTCACTATTTTTTTTGTAATTAGCGTAGAGTTAAATATTTTTTTTACAACAAACTTGGATTTGACTATTTTTTTTAAAGTAATCATAAAGTTTTCTCTTTTTTTTTAAATAATCATAAAGTTTATTACTTCTTTTATAATTATTCTAATCGTTTTTACAATAAACTTGGATTTCACTAGTTTTTTTCAATGATTTTAGAGTTTATTAATTTTTTTGAAATAAACAATTGATTTCACTAGTTCTTTTGTAATTAGCGTAGAGTTTACTGATTTTTTAAAAATAAACAATAGATTCTACTAATTCTTTGGAGTAATCATAAAGTTTACTTGTCTTTTTAAAATAAACAATAGATTTTAGTAATTTTTTTAAAACAAGTAATAAATTTCACTACTTCTTTTGTAATTAGCCTAGAGTTAATTAACTTTTTTACAATAAACTTGGATTTCACTATTTTTTTCCAATGATCTTAGAGTTTAGTGATTTTTTTTAAATAAACAATTGATTTCACTAGTTCTTTTGTAATTAGCGTAGAGTTTACTGATTTTTTAAAAATAAACAATAGATTCTACTAATTCTTTGGAGTAATCATAAAGTTTACTTGTCTTTTTAAAATAAACAATAGATTTTAGTAATTTTTTTAAAACAAGTAATAAATTTCACTACTTCTTTTGTAATTAGCCTAGAGTTAATTAATTTTTTTACAATAAACTTGGATTTCACTATTTTTTTCCAATGATCTTAGAGTTTAGTGATTTTTTTTAAATAAACAATTGATTTCACTAGTTCTTTTGTAATTAGCGTAGAGTTAAATAATTTTTTTACAACAAACTTGGATTTTACTATTTTTTTTAAATAAACAATAGATTTCACTAGTTTTTTCCAGTGATTTTAGAGTTATTAATTTTTTTGAAATAATCATAAAATTTATCAATTTTCTTGCAATAATTCTACTGGTTTTTTACAACAAACTTGGATTTTATTTTTTTTTTAAAGTAATCATAAAGTTTGCTCTTCTTTTTTAAAGTAGTTATAAAGTTTCCTCTTCTTTTTAAAATAATAAAAGAATTGAATAAATCTTAGTACTTCTTTTTAAATGGACATTCAGTTGACTCATTTTGCAATGAAATTCTAGTGGTTTTAGAAGAGTCGGGTGATCTGGCTACTCAGTTTAGGGTTAGGGTTAGGGTTACAAGTTTTCATGATCATTCCATTTTCAATCGATCTAATGTTTCTCTTTATGATGATCATAAAGCTCTCCAATTCCAAATCTTCTTTTAATGAGTTCAAGATAACTTCTTTCTCTGGTTAGTGGGATTAGGGTTAGGGTTAGTGGTTAGTGTTTCATGATAGATCCATTTTACAATCATTTTAGACTGGAGTCGTTGTTTGTAATGAGATGAGATGGACTCTTTTTACGCTGGTTTTATACTTGACTCTTTTTTTTTAAAATAATGATAACCCCTACTAATTCTTTAAGATACGCAGAACTCTTTTTTTCACGATAATCCATTCATTCAAGTACTTTTACAACAAATTTAAACATGTTCTTATCATAATCTTTACTAGCTCTTTGATAAGCTTAAACTTTACCCGATAAAACATAGTTTCGAACTGAGATGGTGTGTTAAAATTATTAAAACTTCATTTCATTCATTTAGATTTCTATTATATATAAACAATGGATATATGCACATTTTCATTCTATTAACATTTTTTTCATTCATTTTACATCATCCCCATAACAATCACTCCCAACAACATTATTTTAATCATATCAGGAACTCTTATTTTCATCCCATCATTTGGTTTTACTTCTTCTTCTTCTTCTTTCTGTGTCTCTTTGCTTGAATCAGTAGTACATTTGGTAGGCTTGCACTTGCGCATCGAAGTCAACGTCACTGTCGACGTCACCGTTGACGTACTCGTTGTCGTACTCGTATGCAATGACGTACTCGTCACCCATGTATCTGTTGTCTTGACTAATGTACACTCTTCTGTTACTTTTCCTCCACCTATTGTCTTGGTTTCTGTAACAGTTTTCGTACCGGTCTTCTCATCAGCCTTGTCATCAGTCTTTGTTTCCATCTTTGTTTCCGTCTTCGTTTCTGTCTTCGTTTCTGTTATTGTCTCTGTATGATGAGGCGCAACTTTTAATGCTTCCAGTTTACATAACTCTTCTATTTCTTTACAAGCTTGTTTAGTATCTGGACAATCCTCTTTAAAACCGCAATCTAGTTGTAAAGCGCTGCATTCCTCTTTCAATTCCAAATACAATTCCAATGCTATTGTCGTTGCATTAAATGCTTTTACCTCTGCTTCTGATACACCTTCATCTACATACGCTCTTTTAACGAGTCCAAGTTTTGCATTATTCGTCGTTCCACCTGCTGTGTCTGTCGTTCCATCTGGTGCACCTGGCGTTCCATTTTGTGATGGTGGTGATGATGGCGACCCTGGTGCTGATGGTGGCCCTGCTGGTGCTGGCTGTACCTGTGCTGGTACAGAATCACTGCCATTCTGTCCACTTGGTGTTACGGCTTGTTTAGACCTTGATAGCAATAAGCTAGCTTTATTTCTGGATTCTTCTGCTGCCTTTTTGAGCGCATCATATTCTTCTTTCTTGACCTTCAACTCTTTTTTCGCTTCCTCTAGATCGGTTTTTAAAGCAGGACATCTCTTCTGTACTTTTTCAACTAATTTTGTGCAAACATTTTCCAAGGAATCTTTACAATCACTAAGCAGAATTTTGAATGTATCATTCTTTTGCAACTCAGTGCAATTCTTTCCTAATGTTTCTGTACATTTTTTTTTATCATTTAAACTTCCTTTCAACAGATGAGTTAGCTCCTCCTTCAATTTCAACTTTTTAAAGGTATCACTGCATTTTTCTTCGAGTTTGTCACAGTTATGATCTTCGTTATCACTTTCTTTTTTCAACTTATCTGGACAATTCTCCATAAGTTGGTGACAATGTCGGCCCCATGTTGTGCAGAGTTCTTCGAGTGCTGTTTCATTTGCTTTTTTCTTTCCAATTTCTTCTACAATTTTTTCATCCTCCATGTTGCCACTTAAATAAAAACATTCATCTTTTGTACGGTATACCATATATTCACATGTTTCTCCTGGCAAAGCACATGAAACACTAAATGAATTCTTTCTCCTCCTATATAAAGTATTACATTTTTCTTGCAACACCTCCGTACAGTTTTGCTCATTATATAATGCATGATCTTTTCTTTTTAAAAATACTTTTCTAAATTCCTCTGAAACTCTAAGGTATTCACAGCGCCTTCTCAATGTTATACACTTTTCCGAATTCGAATGTGAATAAGTTTCAAGTTCATCACACTTCTCCTTCAATTCAACACAATGCTTTTCTAATGGAAAATCCCTTTGATCATCCAAAAGCGCTCCCAACTCTTTGGATTGAAGGAAAATATCATCTGAAAGCATATAACATAGTTCTTTAGGATAAAGACACTTTGGAAGGTATCTCTTATCTTTATTTTCAAGTTTTTTACAGTCTTTTACCACAGATTTTTGGCATTCCTCAGGATGGTTATAATATCTTTTATGACCAGACTCCCCCTTCGATTCCTTTCGAAACAACGTACTCAACATCCTATCTTTTCCCACTTTATAGCACGCTGCTCGTGCATTTTGACATGCTTCATCAATCTCCTTATCTTTACACGCCTTTTTTAAATAAAAACATTCCGACTCAAGTTCTGCACACTCTCCCTTTGTAAATAAGGTTGGCAGTTCTCTCCAGAATAAAAGTGTTGATTTTTTAGTTTTTTCATATTCTGTAGACAAATCTTTCAGATAAAGATTTAATTTGAGATTTGTACATCTTTCTTCTACATTTAGTAATTCTTTGCATTTCTTTTGATTATTTTGTTTATCATCACATAACTTTTCCAAATCATCATCCAAATGCTTAGAAGCATCACATTTTCCTAACGCTTTAGTGCATTTACTTGTTGCATCCGTCTTATCCTCATCTTGGCTCAACACTAGCAAGAGATCTTTCAGAAAATCATCACCAAACCTTCTTGGTAGATCCACTCCTACTTTTCCAATAAGAATTCCTTCTTTTTCAGCTCTTTTATAAACATCTTCCAACCCAATACTTCTCAACAACGACGCCCTCGGCTTGACCGGACTAAAATCAGATTCTGGCGCTTTATATATGACTCCATTTTTCTCGCATTTCTTTTTATCCTCATCACACTTTGAATCATCACACGCTTCTCCATAAAAATGACATTTCTCAAGTCTTTCATGACACTTCTCCGCTAATTCGTTATTTTTAAGCTCTACTTTTAAAGGCTGGCAAACTTCGCCCAATTTTGTTTTCAGCGCTTTACACGTTCCATCCGAATCAAGGCAGAAAAACATCAATTCGTCGCTTTCTCGGCTTAACACTGGGCAAACAGTTTTCATCTTTTCTTTACATTTACCATCATCTTTAGCATCCCCTCCGAGCGCCCTCAAAAGGAGCTCCTCTGCCACCTTTTCACGCTTCAATTTGTAACATCCTTCCCTCAACTGGACACAGTCATTCTTAAGATTAGTTGGGTCTGCTTCCTCTAAAAGTATACATTTTTCTTCATATTTTTCACATTCATCATCTTGTATGTCATCTGACAATGCTTCAAGTTCATTTTTAACTTTGTCTTTCAGTTCTTCGCATTTTTTCTCTTTCCCTTCACAAAGTCCTTTAACTTTATCATCCACATTCTCTAGTTTCCCATCTATTTTCTCCAAATCATCGCAATATTCCTTGAGCCTTTTTTTGCATTCATCCTTATTATCATATTTGTCCTTCACAATGAAAGCCAAAAGGTGTTCCTCCTTAATCTCCTCTGCTGCTGGTGCTCCTGATGCTTGCCTCTTAACCGGCCGTGCCATTGCTGCTTCTTTGTAGGAAGTTTAGTGGGTTGTTTCTAAATTGAATATGGGTAGAGTGAAAAGTTAGTTATTTTGAAATGATTTTTCACGACAAACTTGAACTCGTTCTTATCATAAACTTTAGTTCTTCGATAAGCTTAAACTTTACCAAATAAAGCATAGTTTCAAACTAAGATGGTGTGTTAAAATTAAAACTTCATTTCATTCATTTACATTTCTATTATATATAAACAATGGATATATGCACATTTTCATTCTATTAACATTTTTTTCATTCATTTACATCATCCCCATAACAATCACTCCCAACAACATTATTTTAATCATATCAGGAACTCTTATTTTCATCCCATCATTCGGTTTTACATCTTCTTCTCCTTCTTCTCCTCCTTTATCTGTCTCTTTGTTTGAATCGGTGGTACATTTGGTAGGCTTGCACTTGCGCATCGAGGTCAACGTCACTGTCGACGTCACTGTCGACGTACTCGTTGTCGTACTCGTATGCAATGACGTACGCGTTACCCATGTATCTGTTGTTTGTATCATTGTACACTCTTCTGTTACTTTTCCTCCACTTCCCGGCTTGGTTGTAGTAGTAGTTGTCGTCGTAGTTGTGGTAGTAGTTGTGGTAGTAGTCGTCGTAGTGGTCGTCGTAGTGGTTGAGATTTCTTTTTGCGTCTCTGTATGATGAGGCTTAATTTCTAATGGTTTTATTCCTCCGCATAACTCGTCTATTTTTTCGCAAGCTTGTTTAGATTCCTGACATTCCTCTCTAAAACCGCAATCTAGTTGTAAAGCGCTGCATTCCTCTTTCAATTCCAAATACATCTCCAATGCTACCGTCGTTGCATCAAATGCTTTTACCTCTGCTTCTGATACTCCTCCATCTACATATGCTCTTTTAACGAGTCCAAGTTTTGCATTATTCTTCGTTTGACCTGTTGTGCTTGGTGTTCCACTTGGTGTGCCTGATGTTCCATCTGGTGTGTCTGGCGTTCCATTTTGTGGTGGTGGTGGTGGCACTGCTGGTGGTGACCCTGATCCTGATGACCCTGCTGGTGCTTGTTGTGGTGGCGGTACTAGTGTAGAATCACTGCCATTCTGCGCAGTTGGCATTGCGGCTTTTCCAGACTTTGATAGCAATAACTTAGCTTCCTTTGTAGATTTTTCTGCCGCCTGTTTGAGCGCATCGTATTCTTCTTTCCTGACCTTCAACTCTTTTTTCGCTTCCTCTAGATCGGTTTTTAAAGTAGGACATTTCTTTTTTACTTTATCAACTAATTTTGTGCAAACATTTCCCTTGGTATTATCATCACATTTACCATACAGAGTTTTGAATGCTTCATTCTTTTCCAACTCAGGGCAATACTTTTCTAATGTTTTTTTACATTCATTTTCATCTTTTAAACTGCCCTTCAACAGATGAGTCAACTCATCCTCTAATTTCAACTTTTGAAAGGTTTCCTTGCATTTTTCATCGAGTGCTTCGCAGTTATGATTATTGCCATTCTCTTTTTTCAACTGATCTGGACAGTTCTCCACAAGTTGATGACAATGTCGGCCCCATGTTGTGCAAAGTTCTTCGAGTGTTGCTTCATTTCCATTTGCTTTTTCAATTTTTCCTACAATTTCTCCATTCTTGATGTTTTCTTTTAAATATTTACAATCTTGACTTGTGTGGAATACCATATAACTACATGTTTCTTCTGGTAAAGCACATGAAACACTAAATGAATTCTTTCTCCTCTTATATAAAGTATTACATTTCTCATGCAATACCTTTGTACAGTTTTCCTGAGTCATTAACGAATCATCCTTTTTTTCTAAAAATACTTTTCTAAATCTTTCTGTAACCTTAAAGTATTCACAGCGTCTTTTCAATGTTATACACTTTTCTAAATTCAATAATGAATCACTACTAAGTTCATCACACTTCTCCTTCAACTCAACACAATCCTTTTCTAATGGAAAATCCCTTTGATCATCCAAAAGCGCACTTAACTCTTTGGATTGAAGAAAAATATCATTTGAAACCGCATAACATAGTTCTTTAGGATAAAGACATTTTGAAAGGTATCTTTTATCTTTAAGTTTTGTACAGTTTTCTACCACATATTTTTTACAATCTTTAGGATCGCTACGATATCTTACAAGACCAAGCTTTCCCTTCAATTCCTTTTGAAAGAACTTATTCAACATCCTGTCTTGTCCCTTTTTATAGCACGCTGCTCTTGCATTTTGACATGCTTCATCAATCTTATTATTACACGCATTTTCTAAATAGAAACATTCCGACTCAAGTTCTGCACACTCCCCTTTTATAAAAAAGGTTGGAAGCTTTACCCACGATAAAAGATCTGATTTTTTATCTTCATATCCTGTAGACAATCCTTTCAGATAAAGATTTAATTTGAGTTTTGTACATCTTTCTTTTACATTTACATCTAGTAATTCTTTGCATTTGTCGTTTTTCTTTCCATCATTGCATAACTCTTTCAAATTATGATCCAAATACTTAGAAGCATCACATTTATTTAACGCTTCGGCGCATTTCTTTTCTGGTTCCGTCTCCTTCTTATCTCTGCTCAACAGTAGCAAGAGATCTTGCAGAAATTTTGTACCTGACTTCCTTGGTAGATCCACTCCTGATTTTCCAATAAGAATCCCATGTTTTTCCGCGTTTTTATACACATCATCCAACCCAATACTTCTTAACAACGACGGCTTCGGCTTGACCGGACTAGAATCAGATTCCGGCGCTTTATATGTGATTCCTTTTTCCTCGCATTTCGTCTTATCCTCCTTACATTTTGTTTTATCACACGCTTCTCCGTAAAAATGACATTTCTCAAGCCTTTCATGACACTTTTCCTTTAATTTATTTACCTCCAATTCTTTTTCTAAAGACTTGCAAACTTCTTCTGATTTTTTTTTCAGATCTCCACACGTTTTAGTCGGATCAAGGCAGAAAGACATCAATTCGTCGCTTTCTCGGCTTAACACTGGGCAAACCTTTTCCATCTTTCCTTTACATTTAGCTTCATCTTTAGCTTCCTTTCCGAGAGCCCTGAAAAGAAGCTCCTCTGCCACCTTTTTACGCTTCAATTCGTAACATCCTTCCCTCAACTTGACACACTTCTCCTTAAGACTATTTGGGTCTGCTTCCTCTAAAAGTATACATTTTTCTTCATGTTTTTCACAATCTTCATCTTTTATGCCATTTTTCAATGCAGTGTCAAGATCCCCTTCAAAAGTTGTCAATTCTTCATCAACTTCCAGCTCTTTGCATTTTTTTTTTTTATCTTTCTCTTCACATAGTCCTTTAACTTTATCATTCACACTGATTTTCTGATCTACTTTCTTCAACTCTTCACAATATTTCTCGAGTTCTTGTTTGCATTTATCATCATTATCATATTTGTCCTTCACAATGAAAGCCAAAAGGTGTTTCTCATCAATGTCATCTTGTGCTCCTTGTACTCCTTGTGCTTGCCTCTTAACCGGCCGTGCCATTGCCGCTTCTTTGTAGGGAGTTTAGTGGGTAGTTTCTAAGTTGGATGTAGGCAGGTGAGTGGAAAGTTGTTTTGAAATGATTTTTTTACGACAAACTTGGACTTGTTCTTATCATAAACTTTAGCTCTTCGATAAGCTTAAACTTTACCAAATAAAGCATAGTTTCAAACTAAGATGGTGTGTTAAAATAATTAAAACTTCATTTCATTCATTTACATTTCTATTATATATAAACAATGGATATATGCACATTTTCATTCTATTAACATTTTTTTCATTCATTTACATCATCCCCATAACAATCACTCCCAACAACATTATTTTAATCATATCAGGAACTCTTATTTTCATCCCATCATTCGGTTTTACATCTTCTTCATCTTTTCCTTCTTCTCCTTTATCTGTCTCTCTGCTTGAATCAGTAGTACATTTTGTAGGCTTGCACTTGCGCATTGAGGTCAACGTCACTGTAGACGTCACAGTAGGCGTACTTGTCACGGTGCTCGTATGCAATGACGTACTCGTCACCCATATATCTGTCGTCCGCACTAATGTACACTGTTCTGCTACTTTTCCTCCACCTACTGACTCGGCTATCGTAATAGTCTTCGTACCGGTCTTCCCATCAGCCTTGTCAATGGTCTTTGTTTCCGTCATCGTAACTGTCATGGTTTCTTTTATTATTGTCTCTGTATGATAAGGCATAACTTCTAATGGTTTTATTCCTTTGCATAACGTGTCTATTTCTCCGCAAACAACAAGATCTGAACAATCCTCTTTAAAACCGCAATCTAGTTCTAAAGCTTTACATTCCTCGTTCAATTCCAAATACAACTCCATTGCTATTGCCGTGTCATCAAATGCTTTTACTTCTGCTTCTGATACTCCTCCTGCTACATACGCTCTTTTAACAAGTCCAAGTTTTGTATTCCCTTTCGTTCCATCTGCTGCGTTTGGCGTTCCACTTGATGTAGAAGATGATCCTGCTGCTGGTGCTTCTGGTGCTGCTGGAGGTGCTAGTGGTGGCTGTGCTGGTACAGAACCACTGCTATTCTGCGCACTTGACGTTACAGTTTGTCGAGGTATCGATAGCAATAAGTTAGCTTTCTTCCTAGATTCTTTTGCCACCTGTTTGGCCTTTTCGTACTCATTCTTGTTCTTTATCAACTCATTTTTCGCTTTTTCCAGATCGGTTTTTAAAGAAAGACACATCTTTTTTACTTTTTCAACTAATTTTTTGCAAACATCTTCCTTGGTAGTATCATTACAATTACCAAGCAAAGCATTGAATGTTTCATTTGATGCCGCTTTCCATTCGGCGCAATACTTTTCTAAGGTTTCTTTACATTTACTTGCATCTCCTAAATTACCTCTCAAGAGATAAGTTAGTCCATCCTCCAATTGTTTTTTCTCCCAGAATGGCACGCAGTTCTCTTTCAGTTGTAAACAGACTCCTTTCCCATCAGCGTTACTGGAATCATTTTTTAATGTCTCTGGACAATTTTCCATAAGTTGATCACAATATGGATCCCATAGTACGCAGGTTTCTTCAACCAATGTTTTATTTACGTTTTTAGTTTTATTCACAATTTCATGTTTTTCCAGGTTCTTTTTAAAAATATTGCAATGATTCTTAGCTTCTGAAACCATAAATTTACATGTTTCTTCTGGTAAAGCGCATGAAACATGATATAACCCCCCCCCCCCATCACTTTAGGTAATTTATCACATTTATCCTTCAAGGCTTTCATGCATTTTTCATTATCCGCTAATGCATCACTTTTTTCTTTCAAAAACGCATATTTCAGTTCTCTTGTAACTTTAAAATATTCACATCGCTCTTTCAATGTAACGCATTTCCCATTATTTAAACCTAAATCTTTCAAAATACCTTCACAATCCTCTTTCAATTTAATGCAGTCCTTTTCATTAGGAGAATCCCGTACTGTATTCAAAACTTGTTCTAGATCTTTCAATTGAGACGAAATAATTTTTTCAAATCTAAGACATATCTCCTTTGGCCGAAGGCATCTCATAAAAATCCCAACATTATTATTTTTAAATGTAGCGCACTTTTCCAATACTATTTTTTGGCATTTATTAAATCTTTCATCATTCGATTCTAATTTATTAAGTTTGTACAACTCACTTCCAATTAATTTAATGAATAGTTGATCTTCTTTCTTTTTATAACATGCAATTATTATATTTTGGTATTCGTTATTCATATTAGGTTCGCATGGTCTTCTAATAAAAAAAAAATCTGACATAACCTCTAAACATTCATCCTCGGTAAATGATGTCGAAAACTTATCATAAGACAATAATTCCGAATTATCTTTAAATTTTGTAGAAGTTCCATCTACATAAAGTCTTATTCTAAGCTTTGTACACCTATCCGTCATTTTTGATATATCTTTACATTTTTCTTTTTTGTTACTATTTTCACATAATTCCATAAATTTAGAACTTATAGTTTTAAGATAAGTACACCTAGTATTTAGTACGTTATTGCATTTTTCTTCCATCTCATCAGGTTTACTATTCCGAGACAAAAAGATTAACATGTCATCCAACGTTTTTTCTAAAGCTCCAAGAATTAGCCCTCTATTTCTTCCTTCTTTATAAAGATTTTCTAGATCAATATCCTCTAACAATGTCATTTCCGGCTCAATCGGATTAAAATCTTTAACTGGAGGCCTATATGTAATATTCTTTACCTTGCATAGTTCCTTCAATTTCTCGTTTTTCTCTTCACATCTCTCTTTGAGAAGAGGATATATTCCGAGTTTTTCATGACATACTTCTTCTTTTTTATCATTATCAATGAAATCATTTAAAGAATTGCAAAACCCATCAATACTTTTATTGAAATTTTCAAGTGAAATATCTTCAAGGCAGAATAAAGCTAGATCATTACTCTGTTTAATCAATGTTGGACAATTATTCTGCCTTTTTTCCGCGAAATCTTTAGATCCAGAAATACTAGTAGAAACAGCTCTAAGAATGACTTCATTTCTCATGTCTGTATCCCTGAGAAAATAACAGAAATATCTAAGGAGACTGCAGAAACCTAAAACATCTTTTTCTTTTGTAGGTTCATAAAACATACATGTTTGATAATATTGATCGCATTCTTTATAAGAGATGCTTCTACTCATATAATCAGTGACTAAATTAGCAGTTTCCTCGACTTTTTTTTGAATCTTTGCTTTTGTTTCTCTGCATTTTTTATCTATATCACCACAAATTTCTTTAATTTTACTATGAACTTTATTTAATTCTGAATCTATTCCTTTCAATTCTTCACAATATTCCTTAAGCTTTGATTTGCATTTCTCTTCATCTTTTTCATAATCTTCTTGCAAAATATAAACAACGATTTCTTCATCCTTAACAACAATATCCTTAAACGGCGTATTTTCTATGCTTACTTTAGAATCTCTAGTTTTCAAATGTGTGCTTTGATTGCCATAAGTAGGAACTATAAATAGTTAAAAATAAAAATAATCCAAAATATAATCACCAATTAAAATCAATATTCCTAGAACTATAATTTTATTAATTATGGAAAAAAACATCTTATATTATTTCTGTATCCCAATACATAGCATAAATATTAACAATATGCTTCTAAATTGGGTCCTTTATTAAACTTGATAATTATTTCATGAATAGGTTTTAAGATAAATTTTACGATTTCTATAAACCCTAAAAAAATTAGGAAAAACTAATAAAAATAAAAACCATTACAAATATTGATTATAAATTTAAATAATCTTGTTTTTTTCTATATTCCTTTTCATCCCGTTCAATTGTTTTTTATAAAATAATATGTATATTACATTTTATTTTATTTACCGACTTTTAACATTTATTTCAATTCATTTCGAACTTTTACTACTTTTAATACTATATTATTATTCTTAAATCCAATATCTTCATTATTTTTAACTTTACTTCATTCAAATAATTAATTCTTAATTTTTTTCTTTAATCATTGCATTGTTTTCAATATTGATTTATAATCAATACTTCTTCTGATCTTTAGTTTTAATTAAAGAATACTCGACTAATGATGTTTGACATGTACTTTTAGTTTAATTGAACACATTCTCTTCTCTATTTTTTCCTATATTTAATTTTCCAGAAATGCTTATTTTTTCTGACTGCTTTCTAAAGCTTAGATTAATAAAAGACCCAAAATACCATCAGAAAATCCCTGATAATTTTCTACATCTCTTCTATGTTTAAGATATTAATAAAGGGTTATCAGATTCTTTTATTCCTTTATTCTATGTTGTTATCTCTCCATCTGATGCAATACCATTAGATAAGATTCCTTGATAAAGAATTGTCTTCAATTCTGCTCTTCCAAGATAAATAATTGTCATATAACTAGTACTTTATAAATAAAGTTCATATTTAGTTAAAATATACCCAAAAGGCCATGATCCAATGATTATCACCTTTTTTATCAGAAAAAAACCTCTATAAAATATACTAATAAATATAATACATTTGAGTACATTCTTCTTTGAAAATAATTCAAGAAAATAGGATAGGATAACTGATTAAACACTTTTTTAAGCAATTCTAACTTTATATTTTTAATGTTAAGATATAATATCAAAGTTGGAGTAAGAAAGCATAAGGTGGATGATAGATTAAGTAACATATACATAAATATATTAGAAAAATATGCAAATAAATATATTAGAAAAATATATGCATAAATAGAATTAAAATCAATTATTTAAATATAAAGAGTACGTTGTTCATGCAGATCAAAATCACTGGTATCACTAATATTGAATGAATTAACGGTTTTTTCAACATAGCAGCCTTTTCGATTTCTTAAGATATATTTAGATTAGACTTCTCATTAAGAGCTTCAATTATAGAAAGTCTATCACTGAGATGTCCGTTTTCTCAAAAATCCTATAGGTTAAAAAGAGTAACCCAAAAATAAGAAAAAGAATAACAATAATATCATTTGAAGTAACAAATGCCTTTTTTCGAAGAATGAAAGATGAGAAGCACTTGATCCAGTAAAAGTACCCTCAGTAGGAGACGGCCGTGTAGAAGTTTTTGTAGTAGATGAAGCTTTAGTAGATGAAGCTTTTCGAGTGGTTGATATTTTAGTTTTGCTTGATGAAGTCGTAGATGTAGATGAAGTTATTGATGTTGGTTTTTGTTCCGGTGGTGATGGTGGTGGTGGTTGTGGTTTTGGTGGAGGTGCAGGTGGCTCTGGTTGTGGCTGTGGTGGTTGTGGCTGTGGTGGTTGTGGCACTGGTTCTGGTCCTGGTTCTGGTTCTGGTTCTAGTTCCGGCCGAGGTGGTGCAGGTGCAGGTGCAGGTGCAGGTGGCGGTGGCGGTGGTGGTGGTGGTGATGGTGGTGGTGGTTCTGATGAAGATGTAGAAGTTGGATTTGATGAAAGCGAAGTATCTGGATCTTGCTGAGAGCTAGGATCTGATGGAGGTCGAGGCCTAGCATCTGGTTTTGATGGAGGTTTAAGATCTGATGGAGGTTGAGGATCTGATGGAGGTTGAGGCCCAGGTTTTGATGGAGGTTGAGACCCAGGATCTGATGAAGGCGGAGGCGTAGTAATTGGATTTGGCGGAGGCGCAGTAGTTGGATCTGGCGGAGGCGCAGTAGTTGGAAGGATATGCTTAAAAGGATATTGAGGATGAGGTTGTGGTTTACTTGAATTAATAGACTCTCCGAAAAAATGAAGTTGCCAAAGAAAAATATGACTTTCTTCATCCCAACTATTTCTATCTTTAACATCGATAGTCCAGTAACCTACAATGCTTTCTCCCCTAAAAATCATTAGTTATTATTTTATAAAATGAAACAAAATACCAATGCTTTACAGTCGTAAAAGTCCAAAAAAAAGTGCCACTTTCAGTATCACGAAAACGTACACGTGTTAATTTTGAAGTAACATTAGCAGGGCTTGTAATACTAAACTCCAGAAAACCTCTTTTTTTGTGTTTATAATAAAATGAAACACCAACATATTCCAAATTTTTAAAGTTATAATACTCAGGATATCCACTATGAATATAAAAACTGCTCCTGATATGTCTACTGGGATTAGGAATTTTCCTATTAACAATTACTAGTTGAGTTGAAAACGTTGTCTGAGGATTTAATGTTTTAAATGTTTTTGCTCTTTCGACCATTCTATATGCATCTAGTTTTCCATAACCGAAATTATTATGATAATAACGTTTAGAAGGAAGTTGTTCCCATTCATGATAGTCCAATCTAAATGGAACAGCTGTCTCCACAATCAAAGCTTGAACATCACGCCATGTAAGATTAGGACTAATTTTTTAGTTAAATAATTTTAATGATATTCTTACTTCGCTGAAAGAACAAGAGCAATAATACCCGCAGCAATTGCTGTAGAAGCAGAAGATCCAGAATGTTGAGTAGTGCAATTTGTCTTACCAATATCCGTAGTATACTAAAACGATAAATTTATTATAAAAAAAAAAGAAAAGATTACAATAGATCCATTTCCTCCGCCAGAATATGTAGAAGCCAAAATGCAAGGACATGACTCTGAAAAATAAGGTCTTTCATCTTCTGAATTTATAGCACCGATAGTAATAGTATATGGACTATTTGCATATCCATCGTAATTACAATCATCCAATAATCCACCATTTCCGGTTCCAAAAACATATATAGAGCCAAGACCGTTCCTTCCTTCTTTTACCCCTTTAATAATTGCAGAATAAGTAGTAGGCATCATTGGCATAGCTAAAGATCCGTATTCAGGAGGTCCCCAGCTACAAGAATAAATATGATTAACATTCGGTTTATAACTAAGAGCTTCTGCCTCAAGAAAAAGCGCAAAAACAGAAGTCAAAAATCGTATTCCTTAACAATATTAGATTGGTAGCAATTAAAGAAAAATACCTGAAATATTAGATTCATATGCAACACCAAGCCCACACAGAGTATTCCTGGCGGCCGCCACTTCTCCTGCACATTTAGTACCATGGCTTTCATCAGGGTCATCAGGTTTTGGGTCGGGATCGTTAGAAGCAAAATCATATGAAGCGTTAGCATTCTGAAAAAAGTTAAAATAGTGATTTTATAATAGTTTTTCAAACATAATTTGGAGCCAAATCCTTGTTAGTATAATCTAGACCATTATCTACAATGGCAACTGTTACATTTTTTCCCGTTATCCCTAAAATCATTAAAAGGCAATCAACAACACAAATATCAAACCTTGTAACCATACACCTGTAACATTTATATCTATACCAGGGCTTTTCGTATTGAACTAATTAAAAAATTAGATTTTAAAAAAAAAAAAAAAAGAATAAACTATACCAAATACCATTGTTTATCAAAACAAGGATCACTTATATTTAATTGTTTTTTAATTTCCTCTAACTTCTCTGTTAGATTTACCGGCGGATTTACCGTCGGTTTTTCTGCCTGATCTCCCTTCTGATTTTCTGCCTGATCTCCCATCGGATCTTTTACAACATTATTGACAACTTCATCATTATAAAGATCTTGGTTATCAAAATATATATCGTCTTTTATCACATTTCTCTTTTCTCGCTTGACCAACTTTTGTTTCTCATAATGAAAAAGCTTGTCACTATTAAACCCATCTATTGCATTTCTTCCTTTTTCTAAACCGAAATAATTCTCAATTTTTTCTTTAATTTCGTCTTCTAAAACACTCTTTTCTATAGAAAATATATGCTGGTTATCCAGATATTCTAGTTTCATATAATGTTTAAATCCTAACGCCCGCGAAAAATCCTCAATATCAACATCTTCTGAGAAATGAAAATGATAATAATCATTATTCTCAAAGTCTACTGGCTTCCTTTCACATCTTACTCTAACTAAATATATCCAGTATAAAGTAAGAGTAAAGAGTATCTTGAGGGTCATGACGAAAAGTTAAGAAAAAATTATTTATCCTAAGTTTTTAATTAGAATTTCTTAACTTTTTAGTTAGAAATTCTTAACTTTTTTAAAGTTTAACTAGTATTAAAATTTAGCTTACTTAAACCTAACCCTATCTTCAACATGACCCTCTAATCTGTCCCCTTGTTTTTACTAATAAATGATCAACTTATTTTCATTTAATCTATTACCTTTAATAAAACCCTATCTAGTTTTTTCTCTCCTTTTATTAATAAAAAATCAATGTTTCCATTGATCCTGTTATTTTTAATAAAACATTCTTTAAACTTTGATCTGATCTACTGTTTTTAACAAAATTTTTTTAATTTCATTTTAATTTATTATTTTTAAATAGAAATTGATCTGATTTTACTTTTAATAAAAACATCTTTAAATTCTAGTCTTTTTTAGTTAATGAAAAATCAATTCAACCTTGCCCAATTTGTTACTTTTAATAAAAATACTTTTAAAATACCTTTAAATTGAACCATCCTTTTAATTTCCAATCAAACTCCTTCCAATTCACTCTTATCAAATCTCCACTAGTCTCGACCTAATGACGGACTAATTTCTGCTAAATAAATTTACTAGTTTTTTTAAGATAATTATAAAGTTTAATTGTTTTTTGAATAAACTTACAGTTTATTAATTCTTTATAATGATCTTAGATTTTATTGTTTTTTTTGATAAACAATAAATTTTATTAATTCATTTGCAATAAACTTAGGCTTTATCGGTTTTTTAGGGTAAGCAATAGATTTTGTTAATTTTTTCATAATAAAGTTTAGTAGCTTTTTAAAAATAAACAATATAGTTCACTTATTCTTCTACGATAAACTTAAATTTGTTTTTATAATTATAAACTTTACTATTTCTGCGATAAACCTAAACTTTACCCTATAAAGTATAGTCTTGGACTAAGATTGTGTGCTAAAATAATGAAAACTTCATTTTTTAATTCTTCATTAAAAATTTATGCATCATTCTTCTAAATTTCCTGTACTATATACAAATGACAAATATATTCAAACTTTCATTCCAATGCTATTTTTCTTATTCATTTTACATCATCCCTATAACAATAACTCCCAACAACATTATTTTTACTATCTCTGGAACTCCTATTTTTATCCCTTTATTTGGAGTCACTTAATGCGTTTCTTCACTTGAATCAGTTGTACATTTTGTAGGTTTGCACTTGCGCATTGAGGTCAACGTCACTGTAGACGTCACTGTAGGTGTACTTGTCACGGTGCTCGTATGCAATGACGTACTCGTCACCCATATATCTGTCGTCCGCACTAATGTACACTGTTCTGTTACTTTTCCTCCACCTACTGGCTTGGTTATCGTAATAGTCGTCGTACTAGTCTTCTCAGTAGTCTTCTCAATGGTCTTTGTTTCCGTCATCGTAGCTGTTATTTTCTCTGTATGATGAGGCTTAATTTCTAATGGTTCCAGTTTACATAAAGTGTCTATATTTTCGCAAGCTTGTTTAGTATCTGGACATTCCTCTTTAAAACCGCAATCTAGTTGTAAAGCTTTGCATTCCTCTTTCAATTCCAAATACAACTCCAATGCTATCGTCGTTGCATCAAATGCTTTGACCTCTGCTTCTGATACTCCTTCAGCTACATATGCTCTTTTAACGAGTCCAAATTTTGGATTCTTCGCCGTTCCATCTGTTGTGCCTGGTGTTCCACTTGATGTAGAAGATGATTCTGGTGATGAAGGTGGCCCTTGTGGTGATGAAGATGATCCTGCTTCTGGTGCTGCTGGTGCTGCTGGTGGCTGTGCTGGTACAGAACCACTGCTATTCTGCGCACTTGGCATTACAGTTTGTCGAGGCTTCGATAGCAATAACTTAGCTTCCTTTGTAGATTTTTCTGCCGCCTGTTTGAGCGCATCGTACTCAGTCTTCATCTTTGTCAACTCCTCTTTCGCATTCTCCAAATCGGTTTTTAAAGTAGGACATTTCTTTTTTACTTTATCAACTAATTTTTTGCAAACAGTTCCCTTGGTGCCCTCTTCACAATTAGTAAGCAGAATTTTGAATGTATTATCCTTTTGCAACTCAGTGCAACCCTTTCCTAATGCTTCTTTACATTTAACATCATCCTTTAAATTGCCTTTCAACAGGTGAGTTAGCTCCTCCTTCGCTTTCAACTTTTCAAAAGTATCCCTGCATTTTTCTTCGAGTTTGTCACAGTTATGATCATTGTCATTGCCATTCTCTTTTTTTTTCAACTGCTCCGGACAATTCTTCACAAGTTGGTGACAATGTCGGCCCCATGTTGTGCAGAGTTCTTCAAGTGCTGTTTCATTTCCATTTGCTCCTCCAATTTTTCCTACAATTCCTCCATTCTTGATGTTTTCTTTTAAATATTTACAATCTTGACTTGTGTGGAATACCATATAACTACATGTTTCTTCTGGTAAAGCACATGAAACACTAAATGAATTCTTTCTCCTCCTAGATAAAGCATCACATTTCTCATGCAATGCCTTTGTACAGTTTTCCTGAGTCATTAACGAATCATCTTTTCTTTTTAAAAGTACATTTCTAAATCCCTCTGAAACTCTAAAGTATTCACAGCGTCTTTTCAATGTTATACACTTTTCTAAATTCAATAATGAATCACTACTAAGTTGATCACACTTCTCTCCCAATTCAACACAATCCTTTTCTAATGGAAAATCCCTTTGATCATCCAAAAGCGCACTTAACTCTTTGGATTGGAGAAAAATATCATTTGAAAGCCCATAACATAGTTCTTTAGGATAAAGACATTTTGAAAGGTATCTTTTATCTTCTTTAAGTTTTGTACAGTTTTCTACCACATATTTTTTACAATCTTTAGGATCGCTATAAAATCTTACATGACCAAGCTTTCCCTTCAATTCCTTTTGAAAGAACGTATTCAACATCCTGTCTTGTCCCTTTTTATAGCACGCTGCTCGTACATTTTGACATGCTTCATCAATCTTACTATCTTTACACGCCTTTTTTAAATAAAAACATTCCGACTCAAGTTCTACACACTCTCCCTTTGTAAATAATGTTGGAAGCTCTCTCCAGAATAAAACTTTTGATTCTTTATCATATTCCGTAGACAAATCTTTCAGATAAAGATTTAATTTGAGATTTGTGCATCTTTCTTTTACATTTACATCTAGTAATGCTTTGCATTTGTCGTTATCATTTTTATCGCATAAATCTTTCAAATTATGGTCCAAATACTTAGAAGTATCACATTTTCCTAACGCTTTTTTGCATTTACTTGTTGCATCCGTCTCCTTCTCATCTCTGCTCAACAGTAGCAAGAGATCTTGCAGAAAATTTGTACCTGACTTCCTCGGTAGATCCACTCCTGATTTTCCAATAATAATCCCTTCTTTTTCAGCTCTTTTATAAACATCTTCCAACCCAATACTTCTCAACAACGACGCCTTCGGTTTCACCGGACTAAAATCAGATTCCGGTGCTTTATATATGACTCCTTCTTTTTCACATTTCGTCTTATCCTCCTCGCACTTTGTTTCAGTACACGCTTCTCCATAAAAATGACATTTCTCAAGTCTTTCATGACACTTTTCTGAACTTTTCCCATCCAATTTTGTTTTCAAAAGGTTGCAAACTTCTTCTGATTTTTTTTTCAACGTTTCACATGTTTTAGTTGGATCAAGGCAGAAAGACATCAATTCGTCGCTTTCTCGGCTTAACACTGAGCAAACAGTTTTCATCTTTTCTTTACATTCACCATCATTTTTAGCTTCCTTTCCGAGCGCCCTCAAAAGAAGCTCCTCTGCCACCTTTTTACGCTTCAATTCGTAACATCCTTCCCTCAACTCGACGCAGTTCTTCTTAATATCTTCACTATAACCCGTTCCTTCTAAAAGTATACATTTTTCTTCATATTTTTTACAATTTTCATCTTTTAATTTTCCTAATTCATCTTCAAGTTCCGTATCAAAAGTGTCCAATTCTGCTTCAACTTTGGCTTTCAGTCCTGTGCATTTTTTGTCTCGTTTTGCTTCATCACAAATTTCTTTAACATTTTTATTCACATCGGAACCACCATCTATTTCCTTCAACTCTTCACAATATTTCTTGAGTTCTTGTTTGCATTGTTCTTCTTTATCATATTTCTCCTTCAGAATGAAAGCCAAAAGGTGTTCCTCCTTAATGTCATCTTGTTTTTGTACTACTTGTGCTTGCCTCTTAACCAGCCGTGCCATTGCCACCTCTTTTTAGGGAGTTTAGTGGGTAGTTTCTAAATTGAATATGGGTAGAGTGAAAAGTTAGTTATTTTGAAATGATTTTTTACGACAAACTTGAACTCGTTCTTATCATAAACTTTAGCTCTTCGATAAGCTTAAACTTTACCAAATAAAGCATAGTTTCAAACTAAGATTCTGTGTTAAAATAATTAAAGCTTCATTTCATTCATTTACATTTCTATTATATATAAACAATAGATATATGCACATTTTCATTCTATTAACATTTTTTTCATTCATTTACATCATCCCCATAACAATCACTCCCAACAACATTATTTTAATCATATCAGGAATTCTTATTTTCATCCCCTCATTAGGTTTCACTTCTTCTTTTGATGGTTTATCCTCCACTTTCTTTTCATCTTCTTTCGGTGGCTTATCCTCCACTTTCTTTCCATCTTCTTTTGCTGGTTTACCATCCACTTTCTTTTCAACCCAGAATGACTTGCAATTATCTTTCAATTGTAAACAGACTCCTTTTTCATCATGGCTATTGGAACCTTTTTTTAACGTGTCCGGGCAATTCTCCATAAGTTGGCGACAATATGAACCCCATGTTGTACAGAGTTTTTTAACCAATGTTTGATTTGAACCTTTAGTTTTATCCAGAATTTTATGTTCTTGCATGTTCTTTTTTAAAATATCGCAATGATTCATAGCTTCTGAAACCATAAATTTGCATGTTTCTTCTAGTGAATTGCATGAAACATGATATAAATTCTTCTCTTTTTCAGATAATTTATCACATTTATCCTTAAAGGCTTTTATACATTTTTGATTATCCGCTAATGCATCACTTTCTTCTTTTAAAAACGCATATTTCAGTTTTTTTGTAACTCTAAAATATTCACAACGCTCTTTCAATTTAACGCATTTCTCATCATTTAATCCTAAATCTTTTAAAATACCTTCACAATCCTTTTTCAATTCAATGCAGTCCTTTTCTTTAGGAGAATCCCCTACTGCATTCAAAGCTTTTTCTAGATCTTTCAATTGAGACGAAATAATTTTTTCAAATCTAAGACATATATCCTTTGGCCGAAGGCATCTCAAAAAAATCTCAATATTATTATTATTAAGTGTAGAGCACTTTTCCAATACTATTTTTTGGCATTCCTTAAGCCCTTCATCATTCGATTCTGATATATTAAGTTTGTGCAACTGTCTTCCAACTAATTTAATGAAAAGTTGATCTTCTTTCTTTTTATAACATGCCAGCCTTAGATTTTGGCATTCAGTATTCATATCAGGATTGCATGATCTTTTAATATAAGTACATTCTGAGATAACCTCTAAACATTCATTTTCGGTAAATGATGTTAAAAACCCATCTTGATACAAAATTTGCGATTTTACTCCACCTTTAATTTCTACAAAAGTCCCATCTTGATAAAGTTTCGTTTTAAGATTTTTACACCTATCCGTTATTTCTGATATATCTCTACATTTTTCTTCTTTGTTATTTTTTTCACATAATTCTTTAAATTCAGAACTTATAGTTCTAAGATAACTACAGTTAGTATCTAGTAGTTTCTTGCATTTGTTTTCCATATTATTAGCTTTAATATTCGAAGATAAACGGATTAACATGTCATCCAACGTTTTTTCTAAAGTTCCAAGAATTAGTCCTCTATTTCTTCCTTCTTTATAAAGATTTTCCAGACCAATCTTCTCTAACAATGTCATTTCCCGCTCAATTGGATTAAAACCTTTAATTGGAGGACTATATATAATACCCTTTCCCTCGCATAGTTTTTTCAATCCGCTCTTTTTCTCTTCACATCTCTCTTTGAGAGGAGAATATATTCCGAGTTTTTCATAACATATTTCTTCTTTTCTACCATTATCAATAAGATCGCTTAAAGAACCGCAAAAACGATCAATATCATTATTGAAATCTTCAAATGAAATATTTTCAAGACATAATGAGGCTAGATCATCACCCTTTTTAATCAATGTTGGACAAATTTCCTGCTTTTTTTCCTGGAAATCTTTAGATTTAGTAATATCAGCACCAAGAGCTCTAAGAAAAACTTCGTTTCTCATCTCTTTTTGCTTGTGTAAATAACAAGTATCTCGAAAGAAAATGCAGAAATCTATGACCTGCTGATTTTTTGTAGGTTCAAAAAACATACATGTATCAAAATATTTATTGCATTCTTCATAAAAGATGCTTTTAGTAGCCAAAATAATGATTAATTTTCCAATTTCATCTATTTTTTTTTCAATCTTTGCTTTTATGTCTTTGCATTTTTGTTCTATATTATTACAAATTTCTTTAACTTTACTATAAACTTTATCTAATCCTGGATCTATTCCTTTCAATTCTTCACAATATTCATTAAGCTTTGATTTGCATTTCCCTTCATCTTCTTGATAATCTTCTTTCAAAATATAAGCAAAGATATCTTCATTCCCAGCAACAAAATCCTTAAACGGCGTAATTTTTGCGCTTACTTGAGAATCTCTAGCTTTCAAATACGTGTTTTGATTGCCATAAGTAGGAACTATAAATAGTTAAAAATAAAAATAATCCAAAATATAATCACCAATTAAAATCAATATTCCTAGAACTATAATTTTATTAATTATGGAAAAGAACATCTTATATTATTTCTGGATCCCAATATATAGCATAAATATTAAAAATATACTCCTATATTGGGTCCTTTATTAAGCTTGATAGTTATTTCATGAATAAGTTTTATTTAGATAAGATAAATTTTACGATTTCAATAAACCCTAAAAAAATTAGGAAAAAACTATTAAAAATAAAAATTATTACAAATCTTGGTTATAAATTTAAATGATCTTTTTTGTTTTATATATATTCCTTTTCATCCCATTCAATTGTTTTTTATAAAATAATATATATATTAGATTTTATTTACCGACTTTTAACATTTATTTCAATTCATTTCAAACTTTTACTACTTTTAATACTATATTATTATTCTTAAATCCAATATCTTCATTATTTTTAACTTTACTTCATTCAAATAATTAATTCTTATTTTTTTTATTTAATCATTGCATTGTTTTCAATATTGATTTATAATCAATACTTCTTCTGATCTTTAGTTTTAATTAAAGAATACTCGACTAATGATGTTTGACATGTACTTTTAGTTTAATTGAACACATTCTCTTCTCTATTTTTTCTTATATTACTTTAATTTTCCAGAAATGCTTATTTTTTCTGACTGCTTTCTAAAGCTTAGATTAATAAAAGACCCAAAATACCATCAGGAAATCCCTGATAATTTTCTACATCTCTTCTATGTTTAAGATATTAATAAAGGGTTATCAGATTCTTTTATTCCTTTATTCTATGTTGTTATCTCCATCTGATGCAATACCATTAGATAAGATTCCTTAACAAAGAATTAGCTTCAATTCTGCTCTTCCAAGATAAATAATTGCCGTATAACTAAGACTTTATAAATAAAGTTCATATTTAGTTAAAATATACCCAAAAGGCCCTGATCCAATGATTACCACCTTTTTCATCAGAAAAAAACCTCTATAAAATATACTAATAAATATAATACATTTGAGCGCATTCTTTAAAAATAGTTCAAGAAAATAGAATATGCTAACTGATTAAACACTTTTTTAAGCAATTCTAACTTTATATTTTTAATGTTAAGATATAATATCAAAGTTGGAGTAAGAAAGCATAAGGTGGATGATAGATTAAGTAACATATACATAAATATATTAGAAAAATATATACATAAATGGAATTAAAATTAATTATTTAAATATAAAGAGTACGTTGCTCATGCAGATCAAAATCACTGGTATCACTAATATTGAATGAATTAACGGTTTTTTCAACATAGGAGCCTTTTCGATTTCTTAAGATATATTTAGATTAGACTCCTCATTAAGAGCTTCAATTATAGAAAGTCTATCACTGAGATGTCCGTTTTCTTAAAAATCCTATAGGTTAAAAAGAGTAACCCAAAAATAAGAAAAAAAATAACAATAATATCATTTGAAGTAACAAATGCCTTTTTTCGAAGAATGAAAGATGAGAAGCACTTGATCCAGTAAAAGTACCCTCAGTAGGAGATGGCCGTGCAGAAGTCTTTGTAGTAGATGAAGTTTTAGTAGATGAAGCTTTTCGAGTGGTTGATATTTTAGTTTTGCTTGATGAAGTCGTAGATGTAGATGAAGTTATTGATGTTGGTTTTTGTTCCGGTGGTGGTGGTGGTGGTTGTGGTTTTGGTGGAGGTACAGGTGGCTCTGGTTGTGGCTGCGGTGGTTGTGGCTCTGGTTCTGGTTCTGGTTCTGGTTCTGGTTCTGGTTCTAGTTCCGGCCGAGGTGGTGGTGGCGGCGGTGGTGGAGGTGGTGCAGGTGCAGGTGCAGGTGCAGGTGGCGGTGGTGGTGCAGGTGGTGCAGGTGCAGGAGCAGGTGGCGGTGGTGGTGCAGGTGGTGCAGGTGCAGGAGCAGGTGGCGGTGGTGGTGCAGGTGGTGCAGGTGCAGGAGCAGGTGGCGGTGGTGGTGCAGGTGGTGCAGGTGCAGGAGCAGGTGGTGGTGATGGTGGTGATGGTTCTGATGAAGATGTAGAAGTTGGATTTGATGAAAGCGAAGTATCTGGATCTTGCTGAGAGCTAGGATCTGATGGAGGGTTAAGATCTGGTTTTGATGGAGGCTGAGGTTCTGATGGAGGTTGAGGCCCAGGTTTTGATGGAGGTTGATACCCGGGTTCTGATGAAGGCGGAGACTCAGGATCTGATGAAGGCGGAGACCCAGGATCTGGTTGAGGTTGAGGGTTAGCATCTAGATCTGGTGGAGGCGTAGCACCTGGATCTGGTGGAGGCGCAGTAGTTGGTTGTTTATGCGCAAAAGGATATGGAGGAGGTTGTGCTTTACTTGAATTAATAGACTCTCCGAAAAAATGAAGTTGCCAACTAAAAATAGAACTTTGTTCATTCCACATATTTTTATCTTCAACATCAATAGTCCAGTTACCTACAATGGATTCTCCCCTAAAAATCATTAGTTATTATTTTATAAAATGAAACAAAATACCAATGCTTTACAGTCGTAAAAACCCAAGAAAAAGTGCCACCTTCTTTATCACGAATACGTACACGTGCTAATTTTGAAGTAACATTTGCAGGGCTTGTAATACTAAACTCCAGACGACCTTTTCTTTGGTGTTGATAATGAAATGAAACACCAACATATTCCAAATTTTTAAAGTTATAATACTCAGGATATCCACTATGAATATAAAAACTGCTCGTGATATGTTTAGTTGTTCCAGGAAATTGCATATTAATTCGTATTAGTTGAGTTGAAAACATTGTCTGAGCATTTAATGTTTTAAATGTTCTTGCTCTTTCGACCATTCTATATGCATCTAGTTTTCCATAACCAAAATAATTATTATAATAACGTTTAGAAGGAAGTTCTCCCCATCCAGGATATTTCAAATTAAATGGAACAGCTGTCTCCACAATCAAAGCTTGAATATCATGCCATGTAAGATTAGGACTAATTTTTTAGTTAAATAATTTTAATGATATTCTTACTTCACTGAAAGAACAAGAGCAATAATACCCGCAGCAATCGCTGTAGAAGCAGAAGTTCCAGAATGTTCAGTAGTGCAATTTGTCTTACCAATATCCGTAGTATACTAAAACGATAAATTTATTATAAAAAAAAAAGAAAAGATTACAATAGATCCATTTTCTCCGCCAGAATATGTAGAAGCCAAAATGCAAGGACATGACTCTGAAAAATAAAAATTTTTATCTTCTGAATCTATAGCAGCGATAGTAATAGTATATGGACTATTTGCATATGGATCGTAATTGCAATCATCCAATAATCCACCATTTCCGCTTCCAAAAACATATATAGAGCCAAGACCGTTCCTTCCTTCTTTTATCCCTTTAATAATTGCAGAATAAGTAGTAGGCATCATTGGCATAGCTAAAGATCCGTATTCAGGAGGTCCCCAGCTACAAGAATAAATATGATTAACATTCGGTTTATAACTAAGAGCTTCTGCCTCAAGAAAAAGCGCATAAACAGAAGTCAAAAATCGTATTCCTTAACAATATTAGATTGGTAGCAATTAAAGAAAAATACCTGAAATATTAGATTCATATGCAACACCAAGCCCACACAGAGTATTCTTAGCGGCCGCCACTTCTCCTGCACATTTAGTACCATGACTTTCATCAGGCTTCTGAGGTTTTGGGTCGAAATTTCCTTCATCAAAATTATATGAAGCGTTAGCATTCTGAAAAAAGTTAAAATAGTGATTTTATAATAGTTTTTCAAACATAATTTGGAGCCAAATCCTGGTTACAATAATCTATGCCATTATCTGCAATGGCAACTGTTACATTTTTTCCCCTTATCCCTAAAATCATTAAAAGGCAATCAACAACACAAATATCAAACCTTGTAACCATACACCTGTAACATTTATATCTACACCAGGGTCTTTCGTATTGAACTAATTAAAAAATCAGATTTTGATGAAAAAAAAAAAGAATAAGCTATACCAAATACCATTGTTTATCAAAACAAGGATCACTTATATTTAATTGTTTTTTAATTTCCTCTAACTTCTGTGTTAGATTTACCGGCGGATTTCCCGGCAGATCTCCCGTTGATTTTCCTGCCTGATCTTCCGTTGAATTTTCCACCTGATCTTCCGTTGATTTTCCCGCCTGATCATCTCCCGTCGGATCTTTTACAACATTATTGACAACTTCAACATTATTGACAACTTCATCATTATAAAGATCTTGGTTATCAAAATATATATCGTCTCTTATCGCACCCCTGTTTACTCGCTTGACCAACTTTTGTTTCTCATAATAAAAAAGCTTGTCACTATTAAACCCATCTATTGCATTTCTTCCTTTTTCTAAACCGAAATAATTCTCAATTTTTTCTTTAATTTCGTCTTCTAAAACACCCTTTTCTATAAAAAATATATGGTGGTTATCCAGATATTCTACTTTCATATGATATTTGAATCCTATCGCCCGCGAAAACTCTTCAATATCAACATCTTCTAAGAGATGAAAATAATAATAATAATCATTATTCTCAAAGTCTACTGGCACCGTTTCACATCTTACTCTAACTAAATATATCCAGTATAAAGTAAGAGTAAGGAGTATCTTGAGGATCATGACAAAATGTTAAGAAAAAACTATTTATCCTAAGTTTTTAATTAGAATTTCTTAACTTTTTTAAAGTTTAACTAGTATTAAAATAATTTAGCTTACTTAATCCTAACCCTATCTTCAACAAAACCCTCTAATCTTTATCCTCTTTTTTAATAATAAAAGATCAATTTATTTTCATTTAATCTATTATCTTTAATAAAACCCTCTCTATAACTTTTTTTTTGTTTCAACTAGTAAAAAATTAATTCGTCTCCATTGACCCTGTTATTTTTAATAAAACATTCTTTAAAACTAATTTAATATTTTATTTTAAATAAAAACCCTCTTTAAATTTTGATCTGATCTACTGTTTTTAACAAAATTTTTTTAATTTCATTTTAATTTATTATTTTTAAATAAAAATTGATTTGATTTTACTTTTAGTAAAAACATCTTTAAATTCTGGTCCTTTGTTCTAATTAATGAAAAATCAATTGAACATTATCCAATTTGTTACTTTTAATAAAAATACTTTTAAAATACTTTTAAATTGAACCATCCTTTTAATCTCCAATCAAATTCCTTCCAATTTACTCTTATCTTATCAAATCTCCACTAGCCTCTCCCTAACGACAGACTAATTTCCGATAAACAAATTTATTAATTTTTTTAAGATAATCATAAAGTTTAGTTGTTTTTTTTCAATAAACTTACAGTTTATTAATTCTTTTATAATGATCTTAGGTTTTATTGTTTTTTTTTTTTGATAAACAATAGATTTTATTAATTCTTTTGCAATAAACTTAGACTTTGCTGGTTTTTTAGGGTAAGCGATAGATTTTGTTAATTTTTTCATCATAAAGTTTAGTAGCTTTTTAAAAATAAACAATATAGTCCACTTATTCCTTTACGAAAACTTAGACTTGTTCTTATCATAATCTTTACTACCTCTCGATAAACTTAAACTTTGCCCGATAAAGCTAAATTACTAATTAAAATGGCGAACTAAAATTATAAAAAGTTCATCTTTCAATTCTTGATTCATTTACATTCTCATCTTGGCTCAATGCTAGCAAGAGATCTTGCAGAAAATCTGTACCCAGCCTCCTTGGTACATCCACTCCTTTTTTTCCAATAATAATATCATCTTTTTCTGCGCTTTTATGGACATCATCCAACCCAATACTTCTCAAGAACGATGCCTTCGACTTCACTGGACTAAGATCAGATTCCGGCGCTTCATATCTAATATTTTTTTCCTTGCATTTCTTCTCAAAGTCCTGACATTTAGCATCAGTAGACGCTTGTTCGTAAAAATGACATTTCTCAAGTTTTTTATGGAAATCTTTTTCTAAATTTTTCTGATCCAATTCTTTTTTTAAAGTCTTGCAAACATCCTTTAATTTACTTTCCATAGTTTTGCACGTTTTAGTCGGATTAAGACACAAAGACATCAGCTCGTCGCTTTCTTTGATTAACATTGGGCAAACCTTTTCCATCTTTCCTTTACATTTATTCACATCTTTATCATTTTTAACATCCCCTCCGAGCGCCCTCAAAAGGAGCTCCTCTGCCACCTTTTCACGCTTCAATCTGCAACATTCTTCCCTCAAACTGGAACAGCCATTCTTAAGTTCTCCATTACCCGTGCCTTCTAAAAGCATACATTTTCCTTCATATTTTTTACAATGTTAATCTTTTATCTCTTGAATGCTTTTTCAAGTTCCTCTTTAAAAGTTCCCAATCCTGCTTTTACTTTTCCTCCCAGTTCCTCGCATTTTTTATCTTTCCCTTCACAAAGTCCTTTAACTTTATCATTTACTTTGAATTTATCATCTATTTCTTTCAACTCTTTACAATATTTCTGGAGTTCTTTGCATCCGTTCTTATATTTCTCCTTCACAATCAATGCCAAAAGATGTTATTCCTTAATGTCATCTTGTTCTGCTGCTTGCTTCTTAAGCGGCCATGACATTGCTGCCTTTTTTTTGGCCTACCTTTTCTACCCATCGGTTATCCTGATGAATATTGGAATTTTAGTTTGAATTTTACTTTTTTGAATAACGATTTTCTCATTTTATATTTAATTTAGTCTTAAATATTTTATTTCTAATATTAATTTACAAAAATAGAAGAAAATATTACTTATTAAAAGTACATCTCTTTAAGATTAACTAAATGTTTTTATATTTGTTTAATTATAACTTTTTTTTTTTAAATTTCTAGGAGTCTTTAATACTCGATAATATTAACTCTTGATCCTTTTATTTACTTATGTTTAAAAATGTTTTTTTTATTTAATTTTTTTTTACTATTTTTTTTCAAAAGTTTTATATTTATATATATAGATTAAATTTTATCCTGAAAACAATATTTATGAAAAAAAAATAGTTAATGCTCTTTATATTTAGTTTAATTATCAAAATATTTTTATAATTTATTAATAATATTTGTTTCTAAGTTCTAATTTTTTATTTTACTCTGTTAAAAAGATGGAATAATCGTTCTTCTAATGTTTTTTTTAAGAAAATGTGGTTTTATTATAATCCAAATTTGTAAATTAATGTTATTATTTGAATTTTAGTAAAACTAGGTATTATGCTGATATAATTGGAAAAATGTTCGAAAAATAAAAATTAGAAGGCTTAATTTGTTAAAAATTATGGAAGTTCACTCTAAAAAAATAAAATTTCATAGTTGAAGATTTTAGTAGGTTTAGGTTTAACCCTAAATTAATGAAACCTTTATGATTTTTATAAACAGTCCTAACCCTTATATGATTAAAAGGTGATGTCTCAACACGGGAATTTCTGATTTTTAAAATAATAAATATCAAATTGTATTAGATTCTTATTTAATTTCTTTTTTATATAATATAGATTTTTTTGGCAAATCGTGTTTCTTTTTTTTATTTAAGGACTATTTTTATAAAAATAAGTTATGTGTTATAAAAATAAGTCCAAAAATCATGTCGAAGTATTTCAATATTCAAAACATCCATTTTTACTTTCTCCCGGACATATAGAGGATGTGCTTTCTACGAGCATGGAAAATGGTCTTAATTCAGAAGAAGCTGAGAAGCGGCTTTTAAAATATGGTGCTAATTCCTTAAATAATGAGGGCGGTGTATCTGTTATTGCAGTACTTCTACGACAAGCTGCTAATGCCATGACACTTGTAAGAATAATAAGTAATATATTTTTTTGATCATATATATATTTGTTGATAGGTTCTTGTAACTGCAATGATTGTATCTTTAGGCATAAGAGATTGGATTGAAGGGGGTGTAATAACAGCTGTCATATTAAGTATATATATATATATATATATTAGGATGTTATCTTAATTTTGAATAGTCAATATTGTTGTAGGCTTTTTCCAAGAATATAATGCTGAAAAGACTGTAAACTCTTTACGTTCTTTATCGTCTCCAACGGCACATGTTGTTCGTGATGGTTCTAGTTTTACAATTCCTTCTTCCCGGATTGTGCCTGGTGATATTGTAGAATTAAAGACAGGAGATACTGTTCCTGCAGATATACGTCTTTTTGAAGCTATGAATTTTGAGACTGATGAGTCTTTATTTACAGGAGAATCTTTGCCAGTAAGTAAATTTGTTACTATGGAATCTGCCGACGAGGATATTCCAATTGGTGATCGTGTTACTATGGCATGGAGTGTTACTAGTGTTACTAAGGGACGTGCAAAAGGTATTGTCGTATTCACGGGGATGGCGACTGAAATCGGAACTATTGCTAAGTCCATTCAAAAGAAAAAAATTATTAAGAAAAACGAGGAAGGGAAAACTAGTCCTCATGCATATATTATTGCATGTGGAATGATTATTTTAGATGGTATTGGTCGCTTTTTAGGTATTAATATTGGAACACCATTACAAAAAAAATTATCTGCTCTTGCTATTGGTCTTTTTGGTATTGCTTCGCTTTTTGCATTAATTGTATTTGCAGCAAATCGTTTTGTGACTAAAGATGAAGTAGTTCTTTATGCTATAGCTACTGGCCTTTCTGTACGTATTTATTGCATTTCAGAATATTGAGATCTAATATTTTAGATGATTCCATCAAGTTTAGTTGTTGTTCTTACTATAACTATGGCTGTTGGTACAAAGCGAATGGTCCATCGTCATGTGATTGTTCGTAAGCTTGATTCATTAGAAGCTCTTGGTGCTATTACTGATATATGTTCTGATAAGACGGGTACTTTAACACAAGGTTAATCTTTTTATTTTTTTTTGTTTTTTGAAAGATGTTTTAGGTAAAATGATAGCTCGTCAGGCTTGGGTTTGTGGATTTGGTATGTTTTTGGTATCAGAAAATAATGAGCCATTGAATCCTACTGCTGGAACTGTAGATTTTGTTAATGCTACTCCTTCAGAGTATATCCAAAATAATTATAAAGAAAAGGTGGAAATTAATTTAGAAACATATAATATTAATGAAGAGTTGGAGGGGTTTTTAAATGTTGCTTCGTTGGCTAATTTGTCAACTATTCATCAAGATAATGAGCAACGGTGGAAAGCAACTGGGGAACCTACTGAAATTGCGTTGCAAGTATTTGCGTCTCGTTTTAACAGGGGAAAAAATAAATTATCTAAAGGGTCTAATTCATTGTGGACTCAACTAGCCGAGTTTCCTTTTGATAGTGATATCAAGAAAATGTCCGTTGTTTTTCAGAAAAATACAGAAAAGAAAATTATGGTATTTATGAAGGGTGCTACTGAAAAGGTCCTTCATGATTGTGTTACTATGGGTGTGGAAATGAAGTTACTAAGTGAAGAAGATAAAGAGGAAGTATTTAGGAATATGGAAGTTTTTGCTAGTCAGGGTTTGCGAGTTTTGGCGTTGGCTCAAAGACAATTGACTGAGAATATTGATAATTGGGATGAGGTGTCTCGAGATGATATTGAGTCAAATATGAATTTGCTTGGGTTTGTTGGTATATATGATCCTCCTAGACCAGAATCTGCTTCATCTGTTAAAGGTATTTTTTTTTTTTAATTAGCTTTATTGATTGTATGTTAGAATGCCATCAAGCTGGTATAAATGTTCATATGCTTACAGGAGACCACTTAGGAACTGCTAAGGCTATAGCAATGGAAATTGGTATTCTTCCTCGAAATATGAGCAAATTTTCGAATAGTATATCTTATATGATTATGACTGCTTCTGAGTTTGATAAAATGAGTGATTCTGAAATTGATTCTCTGTCTTGTTTACCTTTGGTTATTGCAAGATGTGCACCGCGAACCAAGGTTCGAATGATAGAGGCATTGCACCGACGAAAAGCGTTTTGCGCTATGACAGGTGATGGAGTTAATGATTCACCAAGTTTGAAGCATGCAGATGTTGGTATTGCCATGGGAATGTCGGGATCAGATGTAGCAAAAAATGCTAGTGATATTGTTCTTATGGATGATAATTTTGCATCTATTATAAATGCAATAGAAGAGGGTCGCAGAATGTTTGATAATATTAAGAAGGTTTATTTTTAAATATTTCAATAGATATTTAAATATTTATTAATTGTAGTTTGTACTTCATCTTTTAGCTGCAAATGTTGCTCAAGCTCTTTATTTGTTAATTGGTCTTGTATTTCAGGATAAAAGTGGTTTTTCTGTATTTGCCTTAACTCCGGTTGAGATTCTTTGGATTATTATGGTAACAAGTGCTTTTCCTGCTATGGGACTTGGTATGGAAGCCGCGTGTTCTGATATTATGAAGCGACCACCACATAATGTATTTATTTTATGTTTTTATGAATTATAAATGATTATAAAATAGATTAAAATTGGGGTATTTACGTATGAGGTTATTGTTGATACTTTTGTTTATGGCTTTATTCAGGCAGTAATTTGTTTAGTATCTGTAAGTTTATAATAATTTTATATATATATATATATAAATTTACAATTATAGTATGTTATTGTTGTTTGGGGATATGGAGATGGGAATCTTGGTGTTTCTTGTAATGATTTTTATAATTCATCATGTGAATATGTATATAGGGGGAGATCTACTACGTTTGTTGAACTTACTTGGATGATATTGATTCTTGCATGGGAAATGATTGATTTTCGACGATCTATGTTTTACTCTAATCCCGAATCACCTTTCAAATATACTCAATTGTATCATCATCTTAAAGGAAATAAATTATTGTTATGGTCTGTAGTTTTTGGCTTTTTTAGTGTTTTCCCTGTTATTTATATTCCAGTAATTAATAAGGAGATTTTTAAACACTCCCCTATTACATGGGAATGGATCCTTGCATTATCTGGTTTATTACTTTTTATTATAGCTTCGGAATTGTGGAAATGGATTAAACGGATTTATTATAGACATTGTCAAAAAAGAAAATATAATTTTGATTCTGATTTGGAAAAAAAATGTCCGTTTGAGAGATATGCATCAATAGAAAATAATACTAATAAACTTTGTTAAATATTTGTTTAATTATCTATATTTAGGATTTTTTTATGAATTTTATGGTAATATTTAGTAATATTAGAATGGATTCCTTTATTTCTTGTTTTTTGGAGATTGTATATAACTTATTTTATGATGTTTTTGAAGTTAATTATATATAAAGGGTAAATTTAACATTTTGTTTATTTATGTATATAATATTTATGTTGATATTTTTATTAAATTTATAGATATTGGAATCCAAAAATAAATTTAAAATAGATAATATTTTTATAGTAAATTTTATAATTTGGAGAGTAATATGACTTTAAGCTAGGTTTTTATATGATTTTTAAAAAAATTATATGGATTTTTCTCATAAAATCTTTATTTTTATATAAATTTATTTTTGTTTTTATTAAAATGTAATTTTATTAGAGCTAACTTTTTTAACTTTTGATTTATCATATAGAACGTATTATAAAATATATATTTATTTTAAAAGGATAATAAATCGGATGCTTTTTGAAATTTTAAGGAATTGCATTGTCTTTATAACTTTTATGATTTTTTATTAAAAAATTTAGAATAGATTTAAGTTTATATTAATTTATAAATTGATATTTTAAATAATTTTAAAAATGTAAATTTTATTTTTAAGATTTTTTAGGTATTTATATATATATTCTATTTTGTTTTTTATTTGAATAATAGTTAATATTCTAATGAAAGTTATTTTATAATAGGATTTTATAGAATTTTTATCGATTATTTCTTACAGTAAAAAGTATGAAAATATGTTAATTTTAAATTTTAATAATTTAGAATTTCTTATTATGAAATTGTTATTTAAATTATAAATATGTAAGAAATTAATATTAATAAAATATTGATGATTTTATTTATATTAAATTTTAGAGAAAACATAATTTAACTTAAAATTGTTTTTAAATCTTGAAATTTTTGAATTAAAATTTTTAATATTAATTCCCATTAAAATATAAAATATTTAAGTTTATATTAAAAAATAATTAAATTTAATGTTTAAATGTTTTATTTTTATTTAAAGCACTTAAATATTATTATAATAAATACATACATCAGTTTATTTTAATTCGTTTACTTTTTAATATAAAATGTTATTCAATTATAAATTTATAGTAAAATTTTAAATATAATATCTTTGATAAAAGTTATGTCTTTTAAAATGAATTGAAATATTAAGAAATTATTTATTAAAATCTAGTTTTTATTAAAAAATATAGAATATAATGTAGTGAATTATATTAAATTTCCAGGATCTTTGAATAAATTTAATCTATAAAAAGTAATGATCAACTAATAATATAGATACAATATTAATTAAAAATATCCCTAGTTTTTAATTATAAGCTTTTTTGGTGATAATGATTATACAGTTAGTATATATTTTCTAAAGAATGTTAAAACTATAAAAAGATTGTATAGTTTACGTAGATAAAAATATATTAAATCATAAAAACATATAATATTGCAAATGATGAGAATATATTATCTATTCAACTATGCAACCAACTCAACAATACCACCAACTTCTTTAATTTTTCTTTCAGCAGTTTGCGACACATACCGGGCACGAACAATAATTGGTAGAGAAGGTAGACGACCTTTTCCTAGAACTTTTCCATAACCCTAAAATAAAATATTAGTCACTATAATGATCCTTAAAATATAATCACATGAACAAGAGTATCAATAATAGGTGAAGCAACTGTTTCCTGGTTTAGAAATTTTTCTCTTTCTTTTTTCGAAATAAGGGACCATAATTTTTCAACATTTATTGGAGGTCTCCAAAACTTCTGAGGTAAATAAAAAGGAAATAAAGTTATACAATTCAAACTTCACCTGATTATTTGTCCTATTTATCAAAAAAAAAAATAATCAGCTAAATTTTCTCGTTTTAAAATTGGTTATTATACTTATGAAAATATCTCATTCCTACCTAATAAAGAATTAGTAATGTTTAAAGGAGAACCATCCCCTAAAAAGTATTATTTAATTTTTAAACTTACTTTTCCAAAATATCCAGGGTGGTATTTATCCATATTGATGCGATGATGATGCATGCCACCTGCAAGACCTCTTCCACCCGGATGTTTTCGATGTTTGCCAACTCTTCCATAGCCCGCCGAAACATGACCCCTATGCTTTCGTGTATTATGAAGTCTTGTAGGCATTTCTATTTAGTTATTTGATAAATTTTTTATTAATTTTTGACACTTCGAAAATTTGAGACTAGATTTTTAAAATAGTTAACTTTTTTTATTATTATTTATATTTTAGGGTTAAATTCTGAATACTGGGAATTTTAAAAAAATGTTTTTATATTATGAGTTATATTATAATTTAGTGGTTTTTTATAATGTTTAGGTACCTTTAGCATTAAGAATGTTGTTTATGAATGTTATAAATGAATTTTAAATAATAATTTATATATTTTTAATATTATAATGTTAATATTCAAAGATATTTAAGTTTATTTTTCTATAATATATCTTTTAAAATTGAATTTTTGAAATATTGATATCTAGTTTTATTGGATATATTTATTTTTGTACATTTTTATAAATTTTACATTTTAAGAGTTATTTTTTTTAGAATTTTTTTTATTTGAAGTAAAATATTGATATTTATTTTTTATTGATCTCTATATTAGAATTGCTGCGCCATTATATTTAAATAAGTATAGATATTTATAAGTTTGATTTTAAATCAGAAATAATAACATGATGATCATATTTTTTGTTTGTTAAAATATAAAACTTTTAAATATTAATAACAGAACTTTCGATTTATAATAGTTTTTTAATTTTTAATATATATTTTTTATATTCTTTGTTGCTTATAAAATTTCAAAAATTTATTATTTTAGAGAATATAGGTAATTTTATTCTAAATATTAATAATACATTTAAAACTTTTAATTGTATTATGTTAATTTTATTTTATATAAATTTATATTAATTTTTTTTGAGAATTTATTCTGGAGATTTTTTTATAAATTTTATTGTTTTATTAGTATTTTTTATTTGAAAAATATATTTAGAAATAAAGAATTAAGAAATCATTACCATTTTAGCATATAATATTTATGTAATTATTCAAAAAATCGGGTTACTAAGAATATGATATTAATTATATATTTTCATTTTTAGTATTTGATATTTTATTTAAATTTGAAAATATATTTTAAAAATGTTTAAAAAATTATAATTATTAGTTTAATAATAATTATATTAAAAGGGTATCAAAACTTATTTAAGATCGATATTAGAATTAGCTTTTATAATCTTAGATATAACATTTTTCGGTATTATTGTATCTGATAATCGAAAATTATTTTTATTTTATTTTATATCAAAATTTTTTATAAATATTAAGTTTGAAGAATAAAGTATATAAGAATTTGAATAAATCTAACATAATAACATTAATTATTTTTAGAAAAAAGCTATTTGTATTAATATATTATTTATGTAATAATCTGGTATATTTCTAAATGAATGGTATAAATATATTCAATATTATAAATAATAAATATATGAATATTAAAATTTAAAAATTATCTTTTAATATTAAATTACTGTTATTAAATTATGATATTTAAGTACTATGTGATGGATATGATACGTCTGTAAACCATGCATGTTTAAGTGCATTTGATGCGGAAATTCGCCTGAAATTATAAATAATTGAAAATAGTATTTATTACTATTACTTACATATTAGGCTGTAACTGTAGCATTTTATTTAATAAATCTATTCCAAGAGGATCCAATTGTGGTATAATTTGACTAAGATCTTGAACATTATATGCTGGATAATTAGCACGATATTCTGGATATTGGCTAATTCCAGGCCATGTATGTTCATTAGGTGTACCCATAAGACGAAATATTTTTAGTAGCTGATCATCATTGTTACTTCCTGGAAATAAAGGTCTACCTGTATACATTTCCGCCATAATACATCCAGCAGACCAAATATCAATGCTAGTTGAATATGTGCGAGATCCAAGAAGAACATCTGGTGCTCTGTACCATAGAGTTACAACTTCATTTGAAAATGTATTTACAGGGATTCCAAACGCCCTTGCAAGTCCAAAATCAGCAAGCTTTAATTGGCCTCGTTTATTAATAAGAAGGTTCTGTGGCTTAAGGTCTCGATGAAGGACACGATTATCATGACAAAATGCAATTCCTTTAAGCAGTTGGTACATAAAGCCTTTGGCAATATTAGGGTCTAAAGCGCCCCCATTTCCTTGGGAATCCATATATTTCTTTAAGTCTTTGTCCATATATTCAAATACTAACATAAGCTTGCTTTCTGTATGAATAACATCCCATAAACCAACAATATTTTCGTGTTTAAGTTCTTTCATAAGTGATATTTCTCGAATAGCCTAAATTTATATTTATTATATATGTTTGTAATATTTTATATGCACTTATACCGTCGATGGAGTACCTTCATCTGCATCTACGAATATCTCTTTTAAAGCAACAATTTCCCCTGTTGCACGATTTCGTCCTAGAATATAAATTTTTGAATTATATATAATTTATTTTAAATTTACCTTTGTGAACTGTGGCATATGTTCCTTCGCCTAGTTTTTCTAGCTGTTGGTAGTTTGAGGTCATTGTTAATAAAATAGGATTTGTAAATAATTATTCTTTTATAAATTAAAATAATTGATTAAAGATTATTTTCGATACTATAAAAATATGATCGAAATACTTCTAAAAAATTTATTTTTTTATTCTTTTGCAAAAGTTTTAAATCCTAAAATGTTTTTACTTGCCATATTTTATTTTTAAAATTGTTATAAATTTTATGAAATTATTTTAATAGAAATAATTATTTTAAATTATTTTTAGAAAAAAATAATTTAAATATATACATTATTATAAGTTTAGTTATTAAATGTGAATGTTTTTTGATTTTGTATAAAAGGCTTTTATATAATTTGATTTGTGAAACTTCATTTATTATAATTATATACCTGATTGTGAATTTATTTTTTTGTAAAGTTTCGATAAAGATTGTATATTTTTTATAATTGTAAATTTCTTATTTTTTATCATAAATAAAAATGTCTTCTGAGACATATTATAAGTCTCTTAAAGTTTCTGCACTTAAGGAACTTTTACAAAAACGGTTTTTAACAGTAAAAGGTAAAAAGGAAGATATGGTCGCACGTTTATTAGAGGCTGATAAATCTGATAACGATAAGCTTAATGTTTCTCGGCCTTCTAAAGTCTCTAAGGATGATCTGGGTGATCTTGCTCCTCCAGAAGATGAAATTGATTGGGAAGATGATGCTACTGACATACCAATAAAATCTACTTTGTTTGAAAAAACACCAATTATACATAATTTTGATAAGTTAATTAATTCTAAAAAAAATTTCAAACAGAATAATCCTCAAAAAATACAAAAAGATTCCAATTTTAAATTCGTTTCTATTGCATCTATATTTTCCGCATCATCTGATTCTATAAATAATGTTTCTGTTAAGGAAAAAGCTATACTGAAAAATCTTCCTTCTATTAAGAAAAGAAGTAGTGAAAATGCTTTTGATATGGATTGGCAATTAATTGAAAATGAAATTGTTAAACGTAAAATTAGAGCATCTCGTTTTGGAATTTCAGAAAATGAAAACAATAAAAGACTTGAAAGATGTATTCGTTTTAAAGTAATGGATACTGTAAAACTTGATGATTATAATAATTTTTCAAGTGAAACACTTGATAAAAATACAAAATTTGTAAAATCTAGAATCTTAAATAACCTAGTAGAAAATGAAAAAGTACAGAGAAGAGCGGAGAGATTTGGAAAAAAAATAAGGAAATAAAATGATTTTTTATGGAAGTATTCATGATTATTTTGTTTTAAATTTTTTTGAAATTACGTTTTTTTGAAGCCATTATAACATATATAAATTGAAAGATAGTTGTTTATTTAAAATAATAAATATATATGTGGTTTTATTATATTTAATATTTGAAAACTACATAAATTTTATATTATGAAACATTGAAATTATATATATGATGTTATAATTTCTAGGATTTGAATTTACAACTTAAACTGCTTTTTTATTTTTTCATCAACTAATTCAGTAGCAGAGATATCAGAGAACCATAGCACCTTACAGTTTGCTTTTATGTTAATTAATGAACATGGCAATTCTTCTATATCATTCCATATTCTTTTCATAATTTCCCGCTTTTTTTCTCCTAATGCAATAAAAACGATTCTTTGTGCATTAATTATAACTGGAAGTGATAAAGTAATGCGTATTGATGGTGGTTTTGGTGAATTGGTAATAGATATTACCCAAGAGGTGTTTTCTTGTAAACTTTTATGATTAGGGAATAATGAACATGTATGTCCATCCTCCCCACAACCCAATAATAAAAGATCAAATTCTGGAAATTTTTTTGTATTTTTAATAGAAAATTTCTTCATTAACACTGATTCGTATGCCTTAGATAGTTTTTCTGGATCATTTAATAAAGATATATCAATACTATGAATATTTTCGATAGGAATAGGCAATTTCATGAAAAATTCATCATAACAAAGTTTGTAATTTGAATCTTGACTGTATAACGGTACAACACGTTCATCTGCAAAAAATATTTCCCTAATAGATAATAATTTTTTAATTAAAATATTAAGAATAAATACCATTTATTCCAATCAATGTCTTTTAAGTTTTCAATATTTTCACCCAAAATTTTTGGTAATGATCCTCCACTAATAGCTACATTAAATTTACTATGTTTTATGATACTTTCATCATATGCTTTTTTTATATATTGGTAAAGTGCATTTCTTAGGTCATCTTTTGTTTGAAATGAATAAAGAGTAGCCATTAAAAATTATAAATATTTTCAAATATTCCTGAATTTTAATATATTTGAAAGTTATTTCGATTTAAAAACCTGATATTTTGCAGTTATTTGTACATATTATTTTAAACTATATAAGATGTACTGAATTTTAAATACTTTCTAATATTTAATAATTGGTATGGTATTTAAATAATATACTATTTAAATGTTTTATTAAAAAATATGAAAAAATTTACAAGTTCTAATTTTAAATTCAAATATAATTTATCAATTTTTTGATTATCAGGCAAATTTTATTACATAATTATTTAAAATTGATGATTTAATATTTTATTAGTCTAATGTCTTGATAATTTTATTATTTTAAAAACTTGATTTTATTTTATATTTTATTTTAAATTTAGTTTAATAGTTTATTTGAGATAATATGTTTTTATAGTTTTTTGAATTTATGGAAAAAACTGGTTAATATTGTTTGATATGTAGTAATTTAATAATTTTTACTATATTGATTTTAAATAATATATGTTATTTTTTATGTTTTAATAATAATAAATTTTAAATATTTTTGTTTTTAAATGTTCTTGAAATAGTTTATTATAATATTTCAAATAAAAATAGTATTGTTTTATAGCCTTGTTTTTTTTAATATACTTTTGATATTTTTTTGGAGTTTGTATTTGATTTTTTTGATATATTATAATATTTAATATTTGGACTTTTATTAAAGGCAATATTGTTTTGTCTGTAAAGCATATGCGTTTTTATAAATTAGTTATTATATTAAATTTAATTTTACAAACATTCATAAAATGTTTAAATATCAGTTAATTATTTGAAATCATATTTTTTAATAATATTCAATAACAAGTATATGAATATATATATATATATATAAACAATTGATTAAATAAATTATCAATAGTTTCTATATAAAATATGTATTATAAAAAATCAATTAATGATATTTTATTTAATGTTTTAATATATTATTTTAGTTTAAATAGTTTATGTTCTAGATAATCATATTTTTATAACTTATCTTTAAATGTTATGTATTTATATATTTGGACTTGTTTATTTTGGTACTAAAACTTAAAAATAGTAGTGTGGTTAAGAATTGTATTGAAAATATATTGGATATTTATATTTTTTATTTATCTATAAATTTAAATAAATTTAAAAATATTCTAATTTATAATTTTTAAGAATGTTTTTAGAATCACATATTTATTTTAGTGAATTTGAATATTTTATATTTTTTTAATTATGAAATATGTTAACATACTAATTACTTTAATACATATAAATTATTTAATTATACAAGATCTGTTAAATAAAAATATAATATTATAAGATTCAATTTTATTTTTTTTGTATAATTTTTTAATATGATAGTTTTTTTTAATGTTTTTGTGTGATAAGTTTGAAATTTCAAACTTTTGATTAAAACATTTTATTTTTTGAAATTTTAATGCTTGGCGTGATAATTAGTTTTAGGACTATTTTCAATTTTATTATAGTTAAATTTATTATAAAAACATGCAGGAGGTTATTCAATATGATGATATTTACTTGAATCAGGGCAAGATTGCTGGACGACTTAGATTAGCATCTAGTGGACTTGGATGGAAAGAATCAAATTCAGATGAACTGTATACAGTACCTGCAAGTGATATACGTAAAGCTCAATGGTCTCGAGCAGCACGAGGTTATGAGTTGAAATTGACTCTTCGTAATGGTGGATTTGTACAATTAGATGGATTTGATGATGAGGATCTTGATACTTTACGTAAAACTATTAAGAAATATTTTAATATTAGTTTGGAGCAACGAGAACATTCTTTAAAAGGATGGAATTGGGGAAAAACAGAATTTTCTGGTTCAGAACTTTTGTTTAATGTGTCGAATAAACCGGCATTTGAAATACCTTTGTCAAATATATCTAACACTAATCTTTCTGGGAAAAACGAAGTTAGTCTTGAGTTTTTGTTGCCAAGATATGATAATGATAATGAAAAATTGGAAAATCGATTAGTAAAAGGAGTAGCAGTACAAGAAGATCAACTCGTTGAAATGAGATTTTATATTCCTGGAACAACAATTACAGGAAATCAAGAAAATAGTGAAAGTGTTAATAATGCAAATGTAAGTAATAATATTATTTCTTTTTTATTTGAAATGTGTTTAATTTTAGCTATTTTATGAAAGTTTAAAGGATAAAGCAGATATTGGACAGGTTTCTGGTGAAAGCATTGTCTCTTTTTCTGATATTTTATTTCTTACCCCTCGGTATAATATTTTCTTCTTTAAAAATTTGTTCATATAATTAGTGGTCGATATGATATAGACATGTATTCATCATTTCTTCGATTACGTGGTAAGACCTATGATTATAAAATATATTATTTTTCCTTTGTCAAGTTATTTCTTCTTCCAAAACCTGATGATATGCATATAGTTTTTGTTATAGGATTGGATCTGCCTCTTCGTCAAGGTCAAACAGAATATCCATTTTTGGTTATTCAATTTATGCGTGAAGAGGAAATGGAGGTAGAATTGAATATTGAAGAGTATAAACTACGGATTGTTTATGTTGGTGATTTATTATTTTTAGTTCAGAGTTTCAAGAAAAGTATTCTGAAAAATTGAAAAAGAAATATGATCAACCTGCCTATGAAGTTGTAAGTCAGATATTTTATGGTTTAACTGGCAAGAAAGTTATAACTCCTTCTATTTTCAGAAGGTAATATTTTGTTTTTTTGATATATAATTAATATAAATTAAGTTATCGTGGTCATGCTGCTGTTAAATGTTCTATGAAAGCTAGTGAAGGAAATCTTTTTTGTTTAGATAAAAGTTTTTTGTTTATTCCTAAGCCTTCTATATGGATTCCTATATCTGAAATTTCATATGTTACTCTTTTTCGGTATAATGTTTAGTATTTAATATTAATTAATATAATGTCTATAGTATCAATACTTCTGTTTCTGCATCACGCACTTTTGATCTTACTTTTTCTCTTAAAGGTGGTGTTTATTATCAATTTTCTAATATAAATAGGTTTTTTGAAAAAAAATAAACTTTATTATTTTAATTTATTTAGGGAAGAACAAAAACTTCTTGAAGATTTTATGAAGTCAAAGAATATTAAAATAGAAAATGATCTTAATGAAGATGTAGGTTGAATATTTAAAAAAAAAAAATGACATGTTTTAGTCTCAGGCTATACTTGATGCTTTGGATGATGAGTTGTCTGATGATGATAATAATAGTATATCAATAAGGAGCAATGATGATGATGAGAGCCCGGATGATGATTTTCAGACAGAAAGTGATAGTGATGTTGCTGAAGAATATGATGAAAATGCAGAATCTAGTAAAGAGTCTGATAACGAAAATGATAATAGGCCGAAATTGAAAAAAATGAAATCAAAATAGATTATTCTTAAATGGACTGTTATATATTGGCTTTATTTTTATACTTTAATATATAGTATTTTACATTTTTTTATAAAATACATTAAATGCTAAAGAATTGGATTTATCATAAATTCGTAGATTATAATCATTTGTATTCAAAGCTTATAGCAATCCATAGTCCTTTAGAATAAATAGTTTTTTTTTCACTGTTTCAGGAATTACTTTATTATCATTAAGTTCATAAACTTCATGTATATTGTTATTAATGAATTTAATACGAGAAATTGATCGTGTGCTTAAATAGTTATCATCGGATTTAAAATATACTTGTAACTGTGATCCATCTAAAAACATCATTATCCCAATTTTTTTATTAATCCACCACCAGCCTTTTCCATTTATAAATTTAGCATAAGTATCTGTAATATCACCCTCTGACTCTTTTCCTAAATTTATACATCTTTTATATCGATTTATTGTATCAAAAATTATTTCTGGGAAATTTTTATATGCTGATTCAATATCCCCTTCATAAAGTAATTTATCTTTGTTTTCTGTGTTATTTTGAGTAAAGATTTTAACTATTTGTTTTTTAGAATCAAGTTGAACAATCATTGTCTGATTATTAATATAACGAATTTCAAATACTGAATTAAGATATAGGCGACATTTTGCATATGGTGTATCAATAATAATTTTCGGTATTTTCGATTTTAAAATAGAAATAAATTTAGAAGCATAGCGATATGCCCTAAGATATTTTGCAGGTAAATCATCAAGCTGATATATTTGTGGTAACCTATCGCTTTGAATTATTTTTATCTAATTTTTTTTAATAATAATAAATGGTGAAATATATAATACCTTAATACCATCAGAATTTATCAAGCATTCCCAGCTCATATTATGAAAAGAAAGTCGTAAATATCCTTTTTTTGTGATTTCTATGTCTGCATGTTTAGTTTTTTGCTTTATTGCATTTAATCCTTTCGTATTAAAATGATATTTCTTTGCAAAATCTGATATAGGTGTAATTAAAGAACCAATTCTATTATCTGTGCAATAATTTTGGTGTTTTTCATCTAAATCATTTTTCGCTGATGTTTCTTTTTTTAAAAGATTTAAGTTTTTGAAATCTTTTGTATTGTATTTCATATGAGCTTCTTGTTTATCGTAGACATTTGAAAAAATATATAATCTTGATGACAACTCATTATGACTTTTATCAAATTTATTTGTAGATTTTTGGGGGTCCATAATATATGAAATTGTTTGAGTTTCCATGTATTCATTTTCCGAATTATATTTTTTATAAAAATTGTCATAAATATGATTCTTTTTTTTTTGATTTCTGAATATATCAATATTCCAGTCTTCTATTATGTTATTCAAGTTATTTTTCATTGTATCTAATAAGTCAAAATTTTTATAATCTTTGCATACCCCTATATTATTTTCATCACAATGAAATGTAAATGATTTTCCTGTAATATAACCTATATTATTGTTAAGGTTGTTGAGATTTGAAGATAAATTATGTTTAAATAAAGGATTTATAGAAAAATGCATATCTTTTTTTTTAATTTTCTTGTATATACTATTTTTTTTATTCTCATTTAAGATATTCTCAATTCTTTGAAGAACTTTTTTTTCGGGGCTTGCAATTATTGATGTATCTAAAATACTTGATAACTTTTTGCATGTAAGTTCTTTTATATCTTTTTTTCTACTTTCTTTCAAATCTTTGTTATTCTTAAGCGTAGTTAGATTAGGTTCATGTCTAATAAGTTTTGAAATATCTGCAATAGTTTCCAATTTTTCAAAATTTGATGAAAATGTAAATTTATGTTCTGATTCGAATTCTGGATCTAATTTGATAATCTCTTTTAAACTTAAAGTTGAATTAAAAAATGGATGTTTCAAAATTTCATGTGTTTTAATACGATCTGAGGGATTCTAGAAATTGTTAATTAAAGACAAAATGATTTTAAATAAATTGGACCTTTTGGAGCATTTTATTTACTAGATTCTTAGCTTCATCGCTTACATAAGAAGGCAGTTGCCTTAAGTTTCCATCTATGATTTGCATTAGTGTTTCCGATATATTTTCAGACTAAAGGTATTAGTTCTGAGTAATAAAATCTGTTGTTTATACTTGAAATGGTGGAGAATTATCAAGAAGACAAAAAAAAATGCATCCAAGAGACCAAATATCTGAAGCTAGGCCACAAGGCCTATGTGCAATGATTTCTCTAAAACAATTATTGTACTATTTAGGAAAATGAAATGGTTTTACGGTGAAATATAATTTGGTGTTCCGCATAATGTCATTGGTTCTTCGTCTGAAAAATTTTGAAGAATTGTAGAAAGACCAAAATCTGCTATTTTTGCTACGTTATTTTTGTCTAGAAGAATATTTGATAATTTTAGATCGCGATGAATAATTTTATGGGAATGCAAAAATATCAAACCAGAAATTATTTCTTTCATTATCTTTTTGACAATGTTTTCTTTTAGTGGAAGAAATGGTTGAGTTTGTATAAATGAATAAAGAGATCCTTGAGAGCAAAGTTGTGTGACAATATATATATATTGATGATCTTCAAATGATGTATAGAAATCCAAAATATTTTTATGCTTTTCTAATGATGAATGTATGTAAATTTCATTTACAATTCGACGACGATGTGTTTGTGATGTTAATTTTGCTTTGTTTATCTAAAACAAATTAATATATAAAAAATATTACTAAAAATAGTTTTTTAGAAATACTATTTTTAAAGCTATGTTCTCGTTTTTTAGCTTGCCTTTTAATGGCATAGCCTTAAAAACATCACCAAAAGCACCACGTCCAAGCTTTTGTAACAAGTAATAGTCTTTAATACATGTTGGAATATCACTAGGTTTATGTAAAAAACTAAATTCCATAGATTCTAATAAATTATTCCATGATTTTTCTTATAGAAAAATCATATGTTAATTGTTTCTTATTAAAAATTATTTTTTGTTAGAACTCGACCATAATTTTAAATAAACACATCGTTTTATCTGACAACGATAATAAATTAGATAATTTAAATTAATATAAATTACGTTCTATAATATTTATATGTATACTTTTTTGAGAAGATAAACATTTCAGTTTTTTAATAACGCCCAACGTGGGGGTCGAACCCACAGCCTTGAGATCCCTACAGTAAGAGTCTCACGCTCTACCGATTGAGCTAGCCGGGCACGTAATTAAACGTTTATAATGCCTTTTATTAATGAAATATTAAATTTTATCATTTTTTAGTGTTAAGCAAAAATTTATTTTTATTTAATTATTTTATTATTTTATTATTTTTTTAGTAATTTTTATTTTATAATTTAATATTATTAGTTATATGTTTTATTTTATTTTTAGTGATTTTATGTCATTATTTCTTAATCTATAGATATATATTTTTTTTTAAATTACTATTTTTGCAAAAATATATCTTTTGCTTGATTATATAGTTATAGTGATTTATTTGATGCGAATTGTACGTTTATTCTTATAAATATAAATATATCTTTTTTTGTGTATGTGTATGTGTATGTTTTGGCTTTAGTGTGTTACGTATATTCTGTTTTATACTATTTTATTATTAAATTATATTATTGGACTAATTATAATATAATATATTTGTTTAAAAACTTATAAATTGATATTAAACGTATAATATTTATAAATTATTCTTATGAGTATAAAAAAATATTTTTATTTTGCTATATTTATCTTTTTATAAAAAAGTAAAATATTAAAAAAATGTATTAAATTATATATATATATATATAGTATGTATTCATGGATGTATTACTATAGTACATTTTTATAATTCATGATATTTTAGTATTTGTATGATTTTAAAGAATTATTTTTTTTGAACATATTTTCGCTATCGTATAAAAAAATGTCTTTAGATCAACTTTCATTGAAAAGAAATGAACGATTAAATGAGTTAAGAAAAATAAAAAATACATCAAAATCAGATGCTACTAATTTTGAAAATGTGTTTTCTAATGATGAAAATTCAGAAATTGACAAAGATTTAGGTACTTCTAAGTAAGCTTTGTTTGATTAATAAAATGTATAATATTGATGTATTTTTAATAGTTTGCCCCTTTCATTTCGTAATTATGATTATGAATTACATGGACCTCGTATGGGTTTTAAAAATTCGGCATTATGGACAGAAGAAACAGTTGAATTTGAAGCTCAACGATTAAAAGATGATATTGATTCAAACGAAACAAATATAACATTTAATAGTAATGAACTTGATATTTCTGGTTTAAAGTCTAATAAGATAAATTGTGATTTGAAAAGAGAAATGCTAAAAAAAAATGATCGTTTAAAAAAAAGAACTGAGTTCGCAATCTCTAAATTAATTCGTGAAAGACTTTTATCTATGAAAAATATAATTGATGATTCCAAAATAAAAAGTATTTCTGATATATAATCTATTAATATTATGTTAAAAATAAAAATATTATTCAAACTTTTTTAACTTTTTTAGTGAAAATAAAATATGTAAAAATGTATTTTAGTATAATACTTTATATATTTAAAAATGTATAAAAAATATTTGCAATGTATCTTTTTTATTTTCTAGATTGTTGGTTAGATTAATAGTTTTGATTCATTAATTATTTATTGTATAAATACATTATTCTATTATATTTTTTAGAAAAATGTTTTATATGTATTATTGAATGATAATATGTTAAAAAAAAATTAACTGTAATTTTTTATAAAAAGTTTGAATTATGAAATTTATGTTATTTACTAATGAATATTTATGATGAATTATTTTAATAAATAAAAATTGGATTTAAAAACTGCTTAGGTATATACATTTTGTTACTAAACTTTTGTGATGATAAATATATAGTTTTTAGGTAATTATAAATGAAAAAAAAAAAAGGCAATTAATTCATTTTATTTTATTTTGATTTGATGAAACATTATTTCTTAATAGTTGTGTTCTAGTCGGACGAGATTTATAGACTATAATAGGATTTTTACACTCGTACGTCCAGTGTCCATGTTTAAGACATTTCTAAAATGTTAAATATTATTTATATAACTATACAAATAATACCTGACATTGTGCATTAGATGATGAGTTTGATGAAAATGTTGCCTTTTTCATTAATTATTATTAATTATTATGTTATTATGTATAATTAAATGATTTTTTTTAAAAAAATGTAAAATATAATTTACTTAAAGTAATATTTTCGAATAACTTTTAAAAATATATTTAATTTTTAATTGGTTGCAGAATAATGTAAAATATAATTTGACGATAATTTTATAAAATACAAAATGTACTAAAAAATATATTTAAACATATAAATTTAAGTAGCTTTTGATCAAAATTTCAAACAATAAAAAAATATATTTCATTATATAAAAACATGTATGATTAATAAATTATGTTATATTGTTTTGATAAATTAATGTAAACATTGATATATTTATTAAATTATATTATTAAATTTAAATACTATTTATATTGCAATTATACTTTTAAAAAAAAACACATTTTTGTTTTATAGATTATTTATTTATATATAATTTAATATTTTTTGTTTAATATTATATTAAAAAATATCATGAATGATCCTATGACGGATTACCCTTTTATGAAAATATTACCATTTTTACTATCAAATTATAGATTAAGTCTAATAAATTAATATTATTTATAACAATTATCTAAACTAATTATTTAAAAAAAAAAAAAAAATATTATTATTATTATAGTTTTTATTTCTAAAATATTAATGATATATTAATAATATATTTTCAGATAACAATAAAATAAAACATATAAAAAATACATTATATTAAATTATATATATGAGCAAAAAACATATTATAATCGAAATTTGATATACTTTTTATATCTATATTTAAATATATAATAAAAATATTTAAATATACATATAAACATTTAAATTAATGTACTTTTTTTTTTTTAAATTTTACTTTCATAATTTTTACGTACTAATTAATAGATATAAATACTATTTATATTAATATTAATATTAATTTTTTGAGTAACAATATATAAAATATAAATAATTGTGTTATATTTTACTTTAAAAAAATAACAATATATAGATATGTATATAATGAAAACCTTAATAATATATTTTTTAAATCATTGACATTTTTTTTCATATATTTTTTTATAAAAGTAGATATATAATTATTAATGTATATATATACATAAATAAAATTGAAAATTACATTTATCCACGTTACTAATAATGATGAATGATGCATATATTATTTATATAATTATAATAAATCTTAATTTTTTATCCATTGTTTTTTACATATTTTATTTGTTTAATTATAACAAAAAAATAATATTTTAAATTCACAAAAATCGTAAACTGCAATATAATAATAAAATAATCAATATTCATAGTATATGAAAAATATACAATTCTATATACCCCCTCTTAGTCTAGGCGATGAAATCAATAAGATTAGACTGGATCTTACAGCATGTTATACTGTATTTTATCCAGACAAAAATGCAATATCTTCATGGAAAAAATATGATATTATTAAAGGAGATGATTTAAATGTGAGTTTTAACACGTTTTCTAAAACCATTATAATTATATTAGTTAAAATTAACAGTACTATGGAAGAATAAAGATATAAATTATGAATTTATTAACGGATTAGGCCATTTTATTTCATCAGCAGAGGTCTTGAACCATTAATCAATATTTTTTCATACTCACAATTCAAAGTTATGGAAACAATTACATCTTCGTCCCATTATTATTCAATCTATTAACAAAGAAAACGATATTACACGTATAAATGCACATTATATTGCACAATTCTTATATTTTTTTAGTGAATCTTTTACCATCTAAATCATATCCTATATTACATTATCCTATAAGTGTATTGCATGGGGAACTTTCAGAAATTCAAATTCACATGAATTTTAAAGATCTTTTATATGAAGAGATTCATTCTAAAAATATACCAAATCTGGAAAACTTAACACCTCTTATAGACTTGGCATTTCGATCATTGTTTAAAGACAAGCTAAGTCGAAATATCCCATTAATTTTCAGAACAGATTTAGCAGAGGAATTTTGAAACCACATTTATATATATTATTCTTATTTAATTTAGATCGCAGAAAAAACATCAGAACATTTAAATAATATTTCTAGATGTCTTGATCGCATTTCGAAAAGATCTACATGTACTAGCTTAAAAGGAAAACTTCATTCATTAAAAAAAGTTTAATTATTATATCTATATACACAATTTGCTAATATCGTTATTTCAGATATCATCACAAGATTCATGTTTTTTAACGCAAGAATTATGGAACACTGTCAAAAAAACAATTTTTATTAAAAAATCTATAACAGAATTTAAACCAGTACGTTAAAATTATATATCTACTCTTAAAACTTTAATATTTTTAACATTATATTAAGACACTAAATCCTACATATACGCAAAAATCATTACAAAAAAATATGGATATTAATCATAGTACCAGTTTATCTTTTTTTTCAATGAATAATAATGATAATATATCATGTGAAAATATATTAGAAACAAATTTGTTACCAATACATTTTAATAGCGGTAATAACTTTTATTAATATATTTATAACATATTTTTATTAAAATTTAGAAGTTAATTGTCGAAATTTACTATCATATCCCACAATAATTAAACAAAAAGAAAATAAGTCAGAAACATACGATCCATCGTGTAACCAATTCAATTATAATAAAAATATAAACAAAAATATAAGTAATAAAATCGAAACTATTATTTTATCAGATTCATAATATATCTAAAACAGTTATTCAACTAGCTATCAATACATTTGCATTTATATATATGTTTTTTTTTTTTTATTTTTAATATTAAACATTATTAAATGTATAAACAGTAGATTTTATTTTAATACATAAATAATTATTTTTTACCAAAAAGAAAAAAAATATTGTATTGACATATGCAAATATAATTTATATATGTATATTTTTTCAAAAAACTAAAACCATGTAAAATTAAAAATATAACACTTAAATCATTTAAATATTTTTTAATATTAATAGACATATACTTATAAATATATATGAATATATTTATTTAATATACATGATATCATTAGATAATTTAATTATTATTTCAAAATAAACAGACTCAAAACATTAAATCAAATCAATATTTCCCATTATCATTTGATAATAATAGAAATAACAAATTTATTATTAGTCAAAGTGTCAAATACTATAAAATCTAACAATCCTATATTATTTCAAAAATTATTAATTATAGTAAACATAATACTATATATTTAACTAACAAAAAATAAATTATATAAAAAATAATAGATGTATAATACATTAAAATATCATTAATGTTATTAATTTCCATGTAATATATATATTTTCAAAAATATATTTTTTCCTTAAAACACACAATTAGATAAATGCGATTTTTTTTAAAATACGTTCAAAAGCATTTAATTTCATTATCATAAGAAAAATCAAAGACTCACATCAGAAAATATATATATATATATATAAATATATATATATATATATAGACTATGAATTTATTAATTTTAATATATTTTTTCAACATATAATGTTAAATAATTCAAAGTTTCGTTATATGCATTTTTTTCATATACAAATATTTTATTCAAATTATTAAATTTAATTAATGAAATATGAAAAATTAAACATTCAAGTATAAAGCAAAAAGTATATTACAAATTAAAGTATTTCAAAAAATAACATTCAAATGAAAATATATGAATAAAATATTAGTATACAATATTTTGATTAATTCAAATAATATTTATTAATTATTATCATTAAAAATTAATCAAACGTATAAAAAATAAAAAAAATATCAATAACTCATCCATTTTCAAAACCAGCAATTAATTAGTTCATAAATAACAAAAAAATAAAAAGTATATATATATATTTATTTATTTTCGAAGCATCAGCTCAATGTTTTGAATATATATTATATATTATAATAGAACTTACACCTATTAGTCACAATTATAAATACATCAGAAAAAAATTATATATTTTAGCATATAATTTAGAAAATAATTTAAAAAACAACTAATTTAACAAATTTAATAAAAAGTATAATGCTATAAAACACAATAAAGTTTTCAATTAATTAACTCTATATTTTAGTGTCTAAATTTTTTTTTTCATAAAATGTACACATGTGCTAACTCTTAAAAAAAACGTTTACATTTAATCATTAATAACCTTATTTACACAGTTCTAAATAATCCAGTTTAATGCGAACATTATGAATTTTATTATTTTTAATTTAAAAAATATAATATATAAATTTATTATTTCATAACTTTTTATATATTTTTAGAATTAATACTAATAATATTAAAATCAACATTTCTTTAGAAAACATAGTAGGGAAAGGCAACTAAAATTAAGATAATAAAACATAAAACAAAGCAAATCTAGTCCCTTAATATTATATCGTATATATATTAAATAGTTTACTTTTAAAATATAATATTAGCCATAATATTACGGAAAAAAAAACTATATTAGAGTGTATATAATCTAGAAATATACGATTTATAATTATTAACATAAAATAATATAAAAATAAAGTATATCTAATCATTCAAAGACGTATCTAGGTCATGTTTAACATCATTTGCAGAAGAAGTCTGGCTTAAAATACTACAATGCAATAAATTACTCTCTTTAACAGGTGACCCAGAAAAATTGGATATAGAACTTCCACCTGAAAAATTAGAATAGCCTGTTAGATTCATATGATGAGAAATCGTTTCTAATGATGGTATTTGAGATCCAATATTAATAATACCAACATCAGAAGCTTTTCCAGCCTTTGATAATGCATAATCTCCTGAATCAAAATATTTCCTCTCCTTTAATTACTTAATAATATTACTATATAAATAATAAAAATACTTTGAGCTTATTATTCAAAATATCATTTTTTTGTGGTATTTTCCCATATAAACGAAATAATTTATTTTCTTCCTCAGTTAATGTCTAAAAAGAATCAGTTATTTTTACAAAATATAAAAAAACTTACATTTAAATCTATTTTATTTTTCTGAGAGGGCAACATAACTTTATTTACTCGTTAAAAGCTATATTTTTCAACTTTCTTAAATATTTATAATCTACTATTCTTATTTTTTTTCATTAAAACTTTAAGTACAATTATATAAAATTATTTTCTAAGATTTATAAAAAAATAAATTAAAATGTTTATACTAAAATATTAAAACATACATAAATCAATATTTAAAATAATTATATTTAAATTTAATTAACTATTTTTCTAATTATAAAAATTACAATTTTATATTCATATATTTAAATATTTTAATTTCAGAAAATATCATTAAAAAAAATAAGTTGTTTTGTTCAAACATAGACTAATTATTATAAAAATAAACAATTTCGCATTTTTATTATAATATTAAAAAAAAAAACTTAAAATTTATAGGTAACTATAAATTTATTAAAAAAAATAAAGTATTTAAAGATTTTTTTCGTAATACAATATTACCAATTTTTTTTATTTTCTGAAAATAATTTCATTTAATATTTAACATATTATTAATTCCAAAATAAAATATTACTATAATATTAAAATTTAAAGAATAAAAAGTATAATTTTATTTAGATTATATTAAACAGGTGAAAAAATATTTATAAAAATTCATATAATTAAATTTAATAATATATTTCAAAAAATTATTACACAATTTAAATCAAGAACATTTATTAAAAAATATAAAATATTTATTATATATACGTATTTTATCATTTTATAGAAATTTAACCACAAATAATTTTTTAATAAACATCGAAATAAATTTTGCAAATTCTAAAGTTTTTATAATATTAAAATTCAAAAAAAAAAGAAAAAAGAAACTAATAAATACCGATTATAGAATGTGTAGAATAGTACATACCTTTACATATTAACAGTTATTCGTATTTAATACATTGACTTGGTTTTAAAAAATAATTAATATAATGATTATATAATTTTATACTTAAAATAATTACAATATATATATATATATTTAATTTTTTAAAATATCTATCAAATATTGAAACATCAGTTTCATTAATATATATATATATATATATATATTATTTATTATACTATTAAATACAATTATTTATCAAAAAAACACAGTATTTTTTTAAATGATCAATAAGAACTATAAAAACATATTATACATAAAATTTGCATTTAAAAATGCAAAAGATTTCATTCCAATAATAAATCAATGTCTTTTAGTAAAAAAATAAGAACATTAGCAAACCTATTTATAATTTACTAGATAATATAAAATATTAAAGAAAAGCATAATAAAAAACAATAATATTCTACAAAATCATCATTAAATATATAATCCTAAGAATTTTATAAAAAATATAATATTTTTTTTAAAAAAAAAACAAAATAAATCAATATCACATATATTTTTTAAATATTTAAAACATAAATTTATAAATAAAACTCCTAAAACTTATTAATATAAGTTTTAACTATCAAAACATTAAAATCACTACAACATTTTTCAAAGATCTATATCGTTTTTTATATTTTTTTCTATATTTTATGTTTTTAAAATCAAAAATTTCATTAATTGCAATTTGAATAATTCAACTGTGCACAAAGAATCGCAAATGAAGTCTACAAACGGAAGAATTTTACTTCTTCATTATATAAATCATACTTTAGGGAAAGGTAATATGATTTTACATTTATTTAATTTAACCAAAAAGTCCCCGGACATCACTCATTAGAGTTAAAACGGAAACGTTCCAACATAGGAATTTGGATGTCTCTCTATTATTAGTTCTAATATGTTTTTGTTTATCGTTTTTTTATGGTTTAAAAAATTAGAATTTAGGTTTATATACTATTTAGTTCATTTATTCTTAATGAAAGGGCAAAGATATGAGCCTTAGACTTATAGACTATAAACCAAAATCTTTTTTTTTGTAAAAACCATTAAAAAAATAACGAAATCAAGAAAAAAAACTAGAACTAATTTATATAGATGGTGAGTCATTTTTTGTCAAAGTAAATAGTTATGCGATTTTTTCCTTTATCATTTTGCAAAAGGATTTAACTTAATGGGGCTTACTCTTGATGCACAGTTAATATTACTATTTTGTGAAGCGTATAATATTAGTAAAAAATATTCATAATATTTATAATATATTTAAAGCTCAGCACAAAATATTTATAAAATAGTTAAATATGATGAACATATATAAAAGAGTCAAGCACATAGATTTAACACAGATATTCAATCTATGATGACTATTTGTTCTGATAATAAATCAAAAAAATGTTGCATTAAATAACAAATAAAAATATAAAATAAAAAATACAATAACAAAACCAATATCTTTCCAAAATAAGCATATTCCAGAAATAATGTACTTTAATATAGTTTTTAAGATATTTTTCTAGTTTTTGGATATGTTTCATAAGCATTTAAATGTCTAGTTGTTTTATCAAATAATTTTAATTTTCCAGAATTAACAGGCGTATCTTCATGAAAACATGTATGATTATTTGCATGCAAATTTTTATAATTTTCTGATCCTGATGAAGAATCAGTATCACTACTAGATGATTCATCATATTCTCGCGGCTTATGATAAATACAACAAACTATAATAAAATCAGATTTATACAAAATTCATAGATAGTATGGGAACTTTTAGATTTTTTTTTTCCCATTCCTTCATTGTCAATAGCTGTTTCATCAAATCTTACTCTTCTTTCAGAAGAGGCTCCTGTAAGTCGAATTATTCCTGTGACTTCATTATTTTGATCAGATGTAAATGATGATTGAAAAACTAAAGGATCAGTTATGGACTGAGAAACTTCAGATCTATTTCGAGAAAACAAGTTTTGTTGATGCATATCATTATTATAAATAACAATAAGACATTAAATTTACGTACGAAAATTATCATTAAGTTGCCAGGGAAACCATTTTAATCAAAATGTCAACTTTTAATAATTTTAAATGATCAGCATATTTAAACGAATTACTAGTAACAAAAATTTATTAAGTCATTCAATGTTAATTTATAATTTAATAGTATCAAAAGAATTATAATTTTTATATTAAATTATCATGTTTATAATTCTTTGTACATTTTAAGTAGCATGGATAGCTATAATATATAATATAAAACATTATAAAAATGACTACAGAATAAACAGTATTTTTCCTTGTTATTAAAATATATTTATATGCCCTTAGAAGTTGAAAAATTATTATTTCAACTGAGAAGTAAGAAATCATCAAGTTGTTACGACTTATAAATAATACTTTAAAAATGATTCAAAAATAAAAAACTATAAATGAAAAAAGTTATTAATTTAATCTATGAGAAATCCAAATTTTTTTTATGTATATCATATAAATATCAAAATTAAGTAAATTATAAATCAAATCTTATTTTTTCTCATAAATTTATATTATTTTTAATCTTGGACATTTTCTTTAGTTAATTTATTCACAGATATATGTATATATTATCCCGATATTTAAAACATTCATAATATTTCCCCTCTATATCCCAATTTATGTTATTATTTCTCAATATTTTTATATATTCATACATCTTTATATTTTAATAAAGTTATACATAAAATCCTATTTTATATAGAAATATTTTTTTAAAAAAATATTTGAATAAATATATTAACATATTATAAATACAAATATTTATACAACATCCCTAAACATAAGTTCTAAAGATGTTTCCTCATCTTTCTTATATAAACTATCTAAAATTTTGTTATCTTAAAAATATTATAAATATTCAAATATATTAAAAATTTTATTTTATAATAAATATTTATACTGTCTATTAAATTTTCTATATTTCTTTTTCTAAAAAATAAAAAACTTAATTATAATTATTAAAATACATAACGCTTTTTTAAAGATCTCAGTTATATTTCAAAATTCAATTTCACTGATAGTTTCATATATATAAAATAAAAAATTTAGCATATTTAAAATAATAAAATAATAATTTCAAACTCGTAATTTCCAACGTGATTTTCATTATCGTAGATTCAAAAAAAAAAATAAATTAAATTAAAAAATTAAACTTAGAAAAAGTTTTTTATTATAAACATTAAAATGAATACATTATCGAAAGATATTAAATTATTTTTTCTAATATATGAAGGCCTAAATAAAAGACTCATTTCAAATAAAAAATTAGCTTTAATTTTATTTTAGAATTATAAACTTTAATGAAGTTATTTAAAATTCTAAAGAACTCATTCTATAAAAAATATATTAATATTAAAATAAGACAATTAAAATTGAGTTTAAGTTTATATAAAAGAACTTGTTAATATAAATCTGAATGTACCTCAACGAGAAATGATAGCTAATATCTAAAGTTTCAGATCAATCCTAATACTATCCTAAAACCTTATTTTCTAATTCATTAAAAAACAATATTTTTATTAATATAAATATTAAAATAAATTAAATATAAAATTTTATATTACCAATATTCTAAAAAAATAGAATATAAAAATCTAAAATATTTAGGCAAAAATTATTTTTAAGTATTTAATAAATAATTAATATATAAACATTTCTTCTAAAATAGCTTTTAACTATGTAATCATCAAAAAATAATCATGATTTGGGAAATTTATTGTAATTGTTACTAACACTTATTTATATGTTTTTCATTTATCAAATATATTAAATCAGTCAATTATAAATCCTCACTTTTCTATGTCTACTTTTTTAATAAATCTTAATATTTATTTGAATCAAAACAAGTATAATTTTTCCAATACAATTGCTAAATACGCATTATTTTCAAAATTTATTTTTAACATTCTATATGTGAAAAAGTTTTTTAATTAAATTTCAGCTCAATTATAATATTCTTATACTAGAAAAATCAAAAATAATATTAAACTATAAAATAAATATTAAAAACATAAGTGTTAAGTATTTAACAAATTTGTAATCACCTAAAATTCTATTGTATTATCTAAAACATTAATAAAAAAAAAATTGTTACTAAAATTAAAAAATAACCTTAAACTTAGACAAATTGAAAATGTTTAAATCATGACTTAAGTATATAATTGATAAAATTACACTTAAATTATTTTCGAAATGTAATTAATTATAAAAAATAATTTTTATTTTTTTTTAGTAAATAATTATTAAAAAATAATAAAATCAGCAGTTATACCAAGACAATAATCACTATAACTAATTATTAACCAAAAATAAACAAATACCATTCATAAATATAAAGTGAAGCTACTATATAATAATATTTCCAAATGCAAAATAAATATTGTGCCAAAAAAGGATTCCAATAATTTCCAAAGACTTTTTTGGAATATAATTTATCCAAATCCTCCTGATAAATAACTCTTGCACAATACTTTCCAAGAATACTATAAGTACGTTTAGGTCCATAAGTAGTCCTAAGACTTTCATCAAGCGAACGAAGCAAATCATTAGTTTTAAAAAGTAAAAGCCTATTCTTTTTAGTTGTGTAATAACATTAAAATTTTTAATATTACATAATTCGTGGAACATCATTCAACAATTCTACTAACCGCATTATAAAACCCTGAGTTACAATGATTCGATTAAGATTATTTCCTTTTTTTTTAACTATTGATTTTTTTAATGATGCAAAATTTCGACCAGTAATTGCACTTGTAAACAAATGAAACTAGTCACTATTAATTAAAATAGATACATAAATATTTAATCTACTTTATCTTCACTAATTCCAGCAACTTCATATGAATATTGTTTCATATCCTTTTCATTCATATTTATAATCGAAAGCCAAAGTTTTGCATAAGATCTTTGAAGATCTAAAGGAATTTGTCTATATAATCCATGATCTAACAATACAATTTCAAAATTATATCTCAATTGAGATGTTTTAACTCGTGATCTAATAAGCAAATTTCCACCATGAGGATCACAATGTAAATATCCATCGTCGCCAAATATCATTTCATTAAATATATGCGATAACTCAGCACTAACTTCATTTCGAGATATATTATTTGCTAACATATAGTTATGATCGTCAATTCTCACACCCTTGATGTCTAAGTTGCCAAATTAAAAAATAATAATAACAAATAATTTCTTACATTCCATAATTAAAATCCTTTTTTCTGACCATATAATTTCTGGAATATAAACAGAAAATCTCTTTATTTTTTCAAAATGCCTCTTAATACGAATAGCATTTTCCGCTTCTTCTTTGAAATTAAGTTCATGTAGTAAAGAAAATTCCATTTCTTCACTTAACCAAGTTAAAGTAAATTCAGGAAAAAATCTTTTAATTGAACTAAGAATCTTTTTGGTTAAGAAAACATCAATAATCATAAAATTTCTTAAAGATGGATGTTGAACTTTTACTGCAACTTCACGACCAGTTTCTCTCATAATAGCTCGATGAACTTGAGCTAAACTAGCAACACCTACAGGCTTTTCATCAAAAAATGAAAAAAAATCCTCTAATGGCTTTCCGGTATCATCTAAAAACATTTTTTTAATATCATCTACTGAAGATGATGGACATTTGTCCTGTAAACAAACCATAGCAGATGTCCATTCCTAAAAAAATAAGTAAAAGAAAAAAACTAGAATCAAAAATACAGAAGGAATTAAATATGACATACTACTTAAATGCTGACCAAGCTTAATAAATATTCCACCATTCTTTTCTAAACAAGATAAAGTGCGTTTAGCACATCTTTTATGACATAAAGACATTGCATACATCCTCTCCTTCTCATTCAAATAATTGAAATTAATGGTTCGACGATAATCATTAAAACATAAAGCAGCTGTTGATATTAATCTAAGTGTTCTAATAGTTGCCAAACCAATATATCTAAAAGGACTTGTATCTACTGAAAATAGATATAAAGCAGAAATACTCATAACTGATAACCCAATTCCAAAAACCATCTTTGCACAACTAATTCTGATTCTTGCTTTTTGATCATTATAGATATTTTTACATTCGATCTTATAATTTCTACTACAAATCACAGAAAAAATTCTAAATTTAACAGGTTTACATTTTAAAAAAGAGAACCCAAATACTTTAATACCAGAATATATCATTTAAATAAATCAACATATAGATCATATATACATACAAAAAAATGTAAATTAAATATAATTTTAACATTTAAAAATCGATAATTTAATTCTTGTTTACCAAAAAATTATATAAAATAAAATATTAATACTATAACTCTAAAGATAAACACAAATCATAAATGCATATTCTAAACTAAAGCAACTAAACGATTTGCTATATCTAATTGTATATGAATAATATTTGCTAAACAAACAAGCATAAGAATATCTTGTAAATGATTATTAAACATTTTTTCGACATCAAGGATATCTATATTAGGAGAAACATTCACATTGTCCATTAAAAAACGAATAACCGCAGGATTAGACCGAATTTTCCCATCCTACATAAATTTTTTAAAAAAAAAATATTTTTTTAAACCTTACCATAGCATTTTCAACATATTTCTTAACTTTTTTTAAAATACATAAAATTTTCTCAATGGACTGTTCCAAATTATCCATATCAGCTAGAATACTTGTTTTTCTGCTTTCCTCATTCTTAGCTTTTAAAATTGAATCAACTTTTTGAATATTAGGAAATATTTATAATAAAGATAATTTCATACATCCATTTCTTTCAAAACCATAATATCTTATTTCATGTGGTATAGGTAAAAATAAACAACTATCAACTGTTCTTTCGGATGTTACACCAACAGCTGATGAAATATACGTTTTGCAATTTATTCCAGCCTTAAAATCAAATGATACAGTTAAATGAACTGCAGGAAATGGATATGTACCATCAGAAGATGAAGAATAAAAATTCTGTATAAGTGCGCTAAACGTATTAAGCTGTGATAAAGTAGCAAACCTATAATTATCAATATAAAATAAAATTGTCTAAAAAAATTTAAACCAGCCAACGACTACTTCGTGAGGATTAGTTTTACGATGTAATTCATACATGGTTTTGTGATATTCCATATCTACTTCTACCTGCCTAAAATCGGAAACTAGATACTATAAACAGTTTCACAAACCTGATCCTGATTTTCATTATGAGGAACAACAAAACAGTTACGAATTTCTATTTCAAAACCATCTTCAGATCTAATCCCTAAAAGCGTACCAATAACTCTATCCTGTCCATGATTCCTCCGAAGGGAATGATCAAGAATCAAAAATAAGACAATAGGATCTACTACAACATTTACTGTATTAAAAATTGGTGAAATATATGAACCAGTCAATTTTTCAGGATACAACAATATACCCATTTCTGATACCATTATAATAAAAGCCTTAGCTAAAAAGTACAAAAATTAAACAGAATTAAGTACTAAATATTATAAAATACTTTTTCCAAAATTAAAAAAAAAAACTTACGATCTTAAAAAATATAAGAAATAATTCAAAAAAAATGTACTCATCAAAATGAAAACCAGTAAAAAAATTAAAATTGCAAATATAGCGAGAAAAAGGTGGGTATTTCTAAAAGATTATTTATGAATGGAATTTTTTTAACAACAAAGACATACTCATAAAAATGAAAAATCACAAAATTTAGAACATATAAAAGCTAAAAAAGAAATCAAAACAAAAAACGATTCTACTATTTTTCAAACTGTTGAAATTGCAGAATTGCAAAAACCTAAAAAGCAGAAACAAAAAAGTACAAAAAAAACAGGAAACTTAAAGATATATGAAAACATAACAGAAAAAAATAAAAATGTAGAATTAAATAACGAAATTACATCATGTTCTGATTCAGAAAACTATAATTTTAATAATAAGGAAAATAGTATGTATAATGTTTAAACTATATTTAAGTTAATTATATAGATATTGATCCATTCTATCATCATTATCAATTTCCAGATGAAATTAAATTAAAATCATTTATAAAAAAAGCAAATGAAAATAAATGGATAACAAAAAAAATAAAGATAGCAGAGTTTGGAGAATTAATCCAATATAAGCTTTCAGAAACAAGTAATTTTGGAATCGAACTTAAAATTATAAATTCGAACTTTAGTAACTTGAAGGTTTGACTATTTAAAATAATAGAAAAAATCTCACATAAAAAATATAGCTAAAAAAGAAATTGAGAGAATCATTTTTTAAACATCAAACAATATATTATTCATTAAGTAATTAGAAGAAAATTGAAAATAAATGATTAAAGTTATTTTATAGATTCCTTAACCAATATACAACACATTTTGGCAGCTCCAATATTTTCATACCAAGATTTCTTATTTACTTATTTAAATTATAATAACAAAAAAGAAGTAAGGGCATTATACATCTTACATCTTCTAAACCACATATATAAGTATATTTATCATTTAAATATATATATCCTAAAGCAAAGTTTTCAGAACCAGGCATTATATATTAAGAAATAATGAAAAAATACAACGCTTTCAAAACTCCCAAATAGAATATAGAGATCAAGGATTTACAAGACCTAAAATTTTAATTTTACTTTCAACGAAAAACTCATGTCTTGAAGTTGTACAAACTATTATTGATATATCTGGAACAGAACAACAAGTTGTAAAAAAATCATCACATTAATTCTAACTGAAATAGGAAAACAGAAAGCGTTTCATTAACGAGTATTCTATAGAAATAGACAATATAAATATGTCTAAACCAGCTGATTACAAAAATTTATTTATTGGAAATACCGATGATATGTTTCGAATAGGAATAAAAGTTACTAGAAAAACATTAAAAATTTTCTCAAATTTCTATAATTCAGATATAATTTTAGCCAGCCCACTAGGATTAAGATTGTTAATAGATGAAAAAGGGTAAAGAATATACAATTTTTTAATATATATTTTACTTTAGTAGCAAAAAAAAAAACAGAGATTATTTGTCATCAATTGAAATAACGATTATTGATAATGCAAATGCTTTGCAAATGCAAAACTGGGAACACGTTTCATACATTTTTGATAATTTAAATTTATTACCCAACGAAATTCATGAATGTGATTTTAGTAGAGTTAGAAATTGGTATCTGGATGAAAATTCTCGATTCTTACGTCAAACACTTATTTTTTCAGAATATATGACTCCTGAAATAAACTCATTATTTATGAATTTTCTTTTTAATATTAGTGGAAAAAATAAAATTAAACAAGTTTATAAAGGATCTATCGAAGATGTAAAGTACAAAATACAACAGGTATGAAATATAATTCTATAAGAAAAGTATTAAAAACAAAGATATTTTTACGATTACATCCATCTGATCCATCAGCTGATCCAGATATAAAATTCTTATATTTCAAAACATCAATATTACCAAACATCATACGATCAAAAGAAAATGGATTTATTGTTTTTATACCTTCTTACTTTGATTTTATCAGGATAAGAAATTACTTAAGTAAAGAAGAAACATCTTTTACTTTTATATCTGAATATTCTTCCAATTCCGATGTATCAAAAGCAAGATCATATTTTAATACAAGAAATAAAAAGATTTTATTATATACGGAACGTGCACATTATTATAGGAGATATAATATAAAAGGTGCAAATACTATCATATTTTATTCATTACCAGAAAATCCTTTATTTTATCCAGAATTAATCAGATTTATGAATGATACAAATGAAAACAGGAACTACAATAAACAAAGCAAAGCATTATTTTCAAAATGGGATGCTTTGAAATTAGAAAGAATTGTTGGATCAAAAAGACTTAGTCTGATGTGTCATGGAACTAATGATATATTTGAATTCCTATAAAAATAGCATTTTCAATTTTATTACTAAATGCATATTGATAACTATTAGACATTTAGTTATAATTTAACTTTTTAATTAATTAATATACAGCCATTAAGATACAACATATTGAAACATATGGGCTTAGTCTTTCACCTATTCTTGCAGCTTTCCAAAAAACTGAAAATGCCCTATTAAATAAAATGAGAGATAGCAGCAACAAAAATAATTAAAATCACCCATTTTTATTCCTATCCATAAGTGCAGGTGCTTGAGCACGAATATAAGTACAAGTACAAATTAATAAGAGAATAACAAGAAGTAAACTCTGGAAATTAAAAAGAGCAGACTTCAATTACATTTGTTAATAAATATTTGTAATAAAATCATTGAATTTACCATTATATGTACTAAAATAATTTTCAAAACTTCAAAAAATTTCAACGTTAAATAATAAAAACATTCATGAAAATTAAACTTTTAATTTAAATGGCATCTAATCAAGATTCATTTACAAAAGGAAAAACGATAAAAAGACAACACCTTTTTATAAAAGATTGTAAATTCTTCTTATTATTACAAATATTACAAATTAACATTGCTAAGTAAAATCTCTTATGTATGCCTTTGGTGATGATAAACAACCTGCACTTGATTCAGTAAGAATACTTGAGGATATTGTTATAGACTATATAAATGAAATGGTACTAAAAGATAAATACAATAGTTTTATTTTATCTATTTTAGTGTTTGGAAGCAGCTCGTATTGCTGGTACTAGAAACAAATTAAAAGTAGACGACTTTAAAGTCGAGTATCTTATTACATTATTTTTTCTATTTCTAATTTAAATAGTTTGTTTTAAGAAATGATCCTCGTAAACTAGGTCGTGTGGAAGAACTTCTAACTTTACAAAGAGTAATTGCAGAAGCACGAAAACAATTTGATGACAAGGATTAAACAATTTCAAAAAAACGAATAAACTATGGGGAACTATATATTGATATTTAATTATCATATGAATATAAATCATATTATAAATTTTTTCCTATATCAATATTATTTTTAATCTTATGAAATTTTAAGGTATATTTCTTTTCAAAATTTGTTTTTATCATATTAATTTGTTTAGAATTTAACAGTCATATTTCATTAACTATTATTGCCCCCATTATTCTATTTTTAAGTAGTTCATCAATTATAATTTTCTGAAATTATAATAATACTTAACTTTTTTAAAAATACTAATATAACCACTAATAAAAATATATTACAAATTCTTTAAAAAAATTAATATTAATATTTATTTAAAATAAAATAATATATTACATTCTTTAACTAATTGTAATGAACAATAATAATTGTATTGTTATAAGATTCATAAAATTTACTAATAATCCATAAATATAGAACAACCTAAATTATTTTATGAAATACTTAATTACAGCTTTCAAAAAAAATAAATAATTTTTAATCTTTTAAAATTATCTGAAAATGTATTAGGTATTATCAAGAAATTATTATCATAATCTTTTTTAACATTATGTAATAACTTAATTATTTATTGGATTTAAAATAGTTGTATTTCCAAAATATAGTTCAATAAAAGACAATAATATTTTACATAATTTTTCAGATATCCACAATTTTTTTAACAAAAAAATTTACAAAAAATCATTCTAATGTTGTATTCGTTATAAATTTTAAAATTAATTCATAAATATATAGCTCTAAATAAAAATGATGTATTAATAAAAAATAACTTTTAAAATACATTGCAATCAAAATAATTTACAAAAAAATATTTAAAAATTCTAACAATTTACTATAAATATAATTTCATAATTATTTAAGAATTTCAAAATATTATCATTTTCCTAATTTTTTTGTTTCTAAAATATAAATAACTAAATTCACTAGATTTAACATTAATTATAAATATACAAAATCGACTGTTTCTATAAAAAATAAACCCAATAATCTAAAATAGAAAAGTTTACTATAAATATTATAAAAGATACTGTATATATTAGAGAAATATGTTCATAATGTAAAACTTTAATCATTAATCTTTCAATTATATAGAAAAATTGCATTTCAAAAACAAATGAATTAAAATTTACGATCATACAATAAACGATAAATCATTTAAATATTGTAAAAAAACAAAAATGCAAATGAGATGCCAATAAATTTAAGACCACTTCAAATTCATATATTGGTTTCTAAGCTTTTAGAAATAAATTACATAAAAAGGGAACCAAAATGGTTTAGACCAGTTATAGAAGCACCGCCGAGCTTTAATTTATTACGAAGATTACCACCACAATTTCTTAGAGTAAAAAAATCGTTAAAACCAAAGCTTCTACAGCCACAAAATATTGAATATCCAGAAGATCAACTCAGAAAAAGATTTTTTAAGGACCATCCATGGGAATTAGCTAGACCAAGAAGTCTAATAGAATATAATGAAAAAGATACAGAACATTATAACTGGAGCCAGCTTCATCAGAAGGCAAAACCTCTAGATGGAGAAAGGTAATTATAAATATAAAAATTTTAAAAATTTATATTTTATCATTTAGTGTTGTACAAAGACAATTTTGGTTAATGACATATGCAAAACCCAAACGAACAAAAGAAAATGCATATACAGAAGCACTTTCAGAATTTTATGTTGCAAGGGCACAAGAACAAATATTACAGATAGTTTCGGAAGATGAAGCCAAAATGCATGGCGCAAAATTTGATAAATCTCATATTGAAATTGGTATAATATTAGAGCAAAATATACTTGAAAACTGGAGAAAAAAAGCAGCATTACAGTCATATCTTCAAAAAAAAAAATAAAACCATATAAACACTTAAAGTAATATAAATAAAAGATATTCTAAAATTTATTTTAATCATTATATATAATTATATATTATAAAAAAAATTATATATATCATACACATATATGATATATATTTTTGTATTATATTATATTTCAGCTTTCATAATAGTACATAATTTGTATTTTATAAAAAAATTAAAAAATCACCAGATTATCGATAAAAGTTGATTTCTCGATGAAACAAAATTAAATAACTTTAATTTCTAGGATAATATATTAGACATGGAAAATTATGATGATATTGAAACATTCAAAAAGCTTATTGACGAAGCTCAAAATTCTAGCAAAGAGAATAATACTACTTTTAATTTTAGTCATAAAAAAATAAAAACTGTTCCAAAAGAAATTATAAACATAATCAAAGACAAAGCATTCAGGAATTTATATCTTTTTCTCATAAAAAGACTTACTGTTTTCAGACTAACTCTTGGGCATAATCAACTAAGTTTTTTTCCTGATGAAATAGGAAAATTATCACGATTAAGATATCTTAATATTCGTGCAAATATATTCAAAGAATTTCCAGTTATTGTAAGTTATAATTAACTTAATAATATATGTAACTAAATTCTAGCTTTGTGATCTTCCATCTTTAGAGATTCTTGATATAAGTAGAAACAAAATTCGCTGTTTACCTAATGAATTCGGCAATCTCATGTCTTTAAAAGTTCTTTCGATTTCAAGAAATAAATTAAAAGTATTACCCATATATATCTCAAAAATGAGTAACCTTAAAATTCTGAAAATTGATCATAACCCAATAACATTTCCACCAAAAGAAATCATACATTTCGAAGGAGGGGAAAAAGAAATGCTTCCTTGGCTTAATAATGTAAAATCATTTCTATCTAGCCATGAAGAGTATTTTAGTGATCATGGTGAAGAACAATACCTAGTCAGGTTGTATTACTAAATTATATATGTTATACTGTTAATTATTAATTAGTGAAGGAGAAAAAGACAATTTTTACAATGTATATCAAAATGAAAAAAAAATAAATATGGTATGAAAAATTTTATTATCCTAAAACAACACTAATAATTAGTCATCAAAAATACAACATCCTATATTAACTAATAAAACTTCTATATCTCTATCATCCTCGGAAAAGGGTTCACAAAAATCAATAAAAGATACTCAAGAAAAAGAAGATACACTTTTTTCATTTTCAACTTTATCAACAAGAAAATCATCAAATAACTCTGAAAACAAGGGTCATCAGAATTCGATTAAGAAAATAGGTAATTACTATTAAGAAAATCCTATTTCTAATATTATCAATAGAAAACAAAATAAACACTTATAATCCTAAAAAAATATTTCATGATCCTGAAACAGTCGATAGTTCAATAAATAATCATACAACCTTTAAATTTTCAAAAAATAATGTTCAAAGAAATACAGAAGCTTATTTTAAACGTTTTTCAGCACTTCCAGAAGCCAAACGTATTCTTCTAAAATCTATAAAAGTCATGGAAACTTATAGAGGAATATTGTTTTCTTTGTCACAAGTTTATCAAGGAATAAGACAATATATTGTATTTTGCACAGATCCTTCCATAAAAGGAACTATTAATCTATTTCTTTGCACAGCAAATATACATATAGGAGCATTAACAAATGCATTAGAAGAACATGAAACAAAAGATCATTGTATGGAGCCATCTATTGTGATTTCTACATGTTGTACATGCATTGAAGCCTTTAAACAAGTGATAGAAGCTTTTCATAAACATATAAAAAAAATAACAATAAAAGCTGATATTCGTTATACTAGGACTCTTCTTTTAATACTTTATGGAGCTACTATAGAAATACGGAATTCTTGGATGATTTTAATGTCAGTATTACCTCCTACATCTTTTAATGTTGACATATTTTCTTTTAAAAACCATTCATCTGGTAATTTTACATCGTCACATCATCCTACTTTTAGGTCTTTATCAAACATATCTATAGCAAACTCTGCTACTTCAACAATCAATACATCTAATATTAGCCCAAATTCAATGCAAGTATTATCTAATCTAAATCAAGCAGAACTACCAAATACTCATACATCGTCAATTATTACACAATATTTGGAATTAGCTGATATGTCCAAAACAGATACAGATGAACATCTTTTTGAAAAAATATTAACAGCAACTACAGCAGCTCTCTCTATTCTAACATTATTAGAAAATGCAGCTACTAAAAACACTATTACTGAATCAGAAAAAAGCCATTCTACGACTACAAATTTCGAAATCACAAAAAAACTAAAGGAGCTTGCTACAATGTCGATAAATGCAAGAGGCATTGCACAAAAAGTTAAAAACCAGCTAAAAAATATTAAAGAAAATAGCAGCCTGAACTATAAACGAAAATTCTGGGAAGATATAAACGCATTTGTAAAAGTTTAAGAATCTTTTATTTATAAATATCATCCTAATAGTTCTATAGTCTATAATAGCTATAGCCGCTTTAGCAAAAATTATTTCTACAGAATTTTCATTTTCAAAATTAATACTCTCAGGGCTATCTACAGTTACGAGATCAACTAAAGAATTAACTATTTTGCTTTCTATTTCATCCTTTAGATTTACAGCGGAATCACAAACAACTAACGTACCATTAACGACATTTTCTGATATATCCCAGGAAACTACAGCACCTATATCTACTAATTCTATAACATAATCTACTAAACTCAAAACATTAACACAAACAGAGCTTATATTTCCATTATACTTTTGACTAATACCACCAATCATTATTAATAATCTAGAGTTTATTAAAAAATTGATTTATTCGTGATACATGTACTAAAGTCTATAAAATCATCATTCAAAATTGCTATATCAACTCAAATTATACATAATCTATTTTTAAAAATTGAAAAAATGGAAGTTATTTTTTAAATTACATATTATCAACATATAAAAAATTATAAAATAATGTCATCATTATCATACTATAATCATAAATTTTAATATTTCGAAATTTGCATATTCTTACAATTATTTTCTATACTTAATATCATTTTAAAACCACTGTACTTAGTATCATTCAAATAATATACAATAAAATATCATATTTTCTAATTTGTTTCTAATATAATAAATA